AGATTTTCCACTTCTGTTACTCCTTTTTAATTGTCCCAGAAACTCCCACTCCTCTGCAAGGGTGAGACCTTCTATCTAAACTGGGGGTTCAGCTCCTTTTACCCCAGGGGAGTACTTTTGCTTGCCCCTGATAGAGGAAAAGTAGACCCCATGGCGTGGACAGATGGACACACTGTGGGACGGGCACGAACAGTAGTCCCAGTCCTAATTCATGTCATGGATCCCTCCTGGTTTTCCCATCAAAAACAACATCCTTTAAAACCAGAAGTTAAGAGGGGCTAATTCCCATAATCAAAGACTTAAAGAGACAGGGACAGCTAATGGAATGCTCCAGCCCATATAATACTCCTATTCTCATTGTCAGAAAGGGACCTAACAGATGGAGGCTAGTCCAGGATCTCCACCTGGTCAATGAAGCAGTAGTGTCTCTCTACCCTGTAGTTCCAAATCCTATATGCTTTTAGCCCAACTACCTCCAGGTACAGCTTACTACTGTCCTGCACTTAAAGGATGCCTTCTTTTGCACTTCCTTACATCCTAAAAGTCAACCTAACTTTGCCTTTGAGGACCCCCACATGAAATCTGGACAGGTCACCTGGAATTCTTCCCCCAGGGATTTAGAGATAGCCCCCACCTCTTGGGTTAGCTCTAACCCAAGACTTGCAGAGTGGCATATCCACAAGCTACTCTGCTACAATAGTAGATGACCTCCTGTCTGTGGACAAGTGAGCCTGTCATTCACGAGCCACTGATCCTTACTAAACTCTGAGCAAACAGAGGTTATAAAATCTCTAAGAAGCCCAATGTGTCAGCTAGGGTTACATTTAGGTCTGTCCTGGAAAAGAAATGACCTCTACGAGGGACAAATCCGTCCAATCTGATGTTTCCTCTAGCTAAAATTCTAAAGCAATTGAGGGCCTTTGGAGGGGGTACAGGATACGCATAGAATTTGGATCCTGGGAATGCAACCTAGCCAGGCCCTATATCAAATCCTTAAGGAAGCACAGAAGGATCCAGCCCTTTATTGAATGGGATACAAGTCAGAAAGTGCATTCCACAGTTAAATGACAGCTCCAGCCGGGTCTCCCAGTACAGACAAGTTTCATTATATGTCTATAAAAGGGAAGACTGGCCTTGGATGTTGACTCACTCTGGGGCAGCACTCCCCAGCTATGGGCTACTTAAATAATAGATCAGGTAGCCAAGGGATGGCCAGGATGTATTAGAGCCATGCTGCAGTCAGCCTTCTAGTGCCTGAAACTCAGAAACTTATCCTAAACCACCTCTAACGGTTTATACCCCACATGACCTAGGGAATTTTAACTCAAAAGGAAACTTTGGCACCTGATGCCCATCTACTTAACTACCAGCCCAGCTTCGAGAGGGACAAAATAACTTTAAGGACCTGTCAGAGCCTAAATCCTGCACTTCCTACCAGAAGAAGAGGAAATCCTGAACACTCATGTGAGAGTACTTATGGAAAATTATACTGCTGACCTGACTTAACTGATTGGTTAAAACCAATCACTTAAAAAAACCCAGATCTAAATTATGCACTGATGGCAGTTCCTTGTCAAGAATGGTGTCAGACATGCACCATTCTTGTAACAGAATTTGTTATCCTCAGATCAGTCCTCTTCCGCTAATACAAGTGTCAATTGACAGAATTAGTGGCCCTAACAGAACCCTAGACTGTCAAAAGAACAGAGAGTCAAAGCTATACAGATCTAAGTATGCCTTCCTGATCCTGCACACTCATGTAGCCATCTGGAAGGAAAGAGAAGCTAACTACAACAGGAACAACTTCCCATAGAAATAAAAGGGAGACCACTCTAATGGTTTTAGGTATAAAAGCATTAGTTACAGCCCTAGCTGGAATTAAGCTATTGGGTGATTGCCAATCATGTAACTCCAAAAAACCTAACCAAAGTAGTAGAGGGCACTTCAGACCAGGTAGCCTTGCCATTAAGGACATGCAAAGGTCTTTGTCGTCCCTTGACTTGTGGTCACGACCACCGCCTGGCCCTAGATTTTCTTTTGGCTAAAGAAGGAGGGGTAGGTGCCATCGCCAGTACTTGCTGTTGCACATACATAAACACTTCAGGCATTGTAGAGGAACGTGCAGACTACATTCTCCAGCAGGCTAAGTGGCTCCGGGAGCAATCTCTTGAAACTCAGGTATCCACACAGGTATGGGACCAAATAAAATCCTGGCTCCCCTCCAGGACTTGGTTCCTATCCTTTCTGGGGCCTATAGTTGCCATTATTCTCTTGCGTGTGTTTGGGCCTTGCATTTTAAACTTACTTGTCAAGTTTGTTTCCTCTTGCCTAGAATCCATCAGACTACAAATGCCCCTGATGGAGATGAAAACAACCTACTATTGTCCCCTCTTACTCCTCTCTCATGGTCAGCCCTGAGGCTGTTGGCCCCTTCATTGCCCCCTGTCAGCAGGAAGCAGTATATTCCTAACAGCAGTTAGGGTGACCATTGAGAGGGGGGGATTGAAGGATGGACTGCAGGAGGTCCCAAAAGGTGATAAGTGGTCAAGGACACACCTCTCCTCCCCAGGAAACTTCTGTTTGCACCTGAGAGACATCTCTGCCCTCAGGCAATGCAAAAAGACTATAAAAACCCAATTTCCAACCTGACCCAGGGGACCACTAGTTTCTGGGTTCCCCTGCATGTCCTCATGCAGCTCTTTCCCTCTCTTCTCTACAAATAAAATCTTTCCAACCTCTGCTGCTGGAGTCCGCCTGTGCTTTCATTCTCAGAGCTGACCCAAGAACCCTGAGCACCTGAAATTCCTGTGCGTGTCAAAAGCAATTAGAGGAGAGTTGTCACAGCAAATCATTAACATGCCCTTTGGTGGAAATGAAACAGAATGTGCAGAGCTTAGGACCTATTGTTAGGTCGACGTGGATGGAAAGGCCAAATCAGAGTCCAATGACAAAGAAGCAGGCTTTATTGAGAGTGTGCTCTCAGGCGAGGTTCACTGTCCCCAAAGAACAGGGCTGGAGAAGTCGCGCCTGAGAAATAGCAGCCCAGTTTTCATAATCTGGGTGAAGTCAAGAGTTTAGGGTATTGGGGAACGCTGGGATAGGTTGAGGCCTAGTGAAGGAGGGGCTCAGGGTAATATGGACCTATAGGATAGGTTGAAACCTATTGCCAGCAGGGGTTGCCGTGGCAACCAGAGGGGGAAGAAGAACAGGGAGCACGGAGTGGAAAATCCCTGATCGCCATGGTGGCTGCCCACCAGCCAAACACCCTATAACTCTAGACAGACTTGAGTCTCAGAAATCTGCATCACACAAAGAACTTGAGACTTCTTAGGTGCCACATCTCCAGCCTACTGAGATGCGCTGTTTCCTGCATTTCTGCTTTGCTCAACAAAACTATAAACTTCGGACCTAACACTCATCCTTAAATTCTTCTCTGTGATTATGTCATAAACTTGATTGGCATGGGTGTCATGAAGACAGCTACCGCATGTCACAAGCTTGGCCCTCAGCTGAAATTCATGTATTTTGGGACCCTACCTGGGTTTAAACAGTCCCTGTTTTCAGCACAACTCCCAAACACCTGCATGGTTTGCTACACAAATGATACATGTTTGGGAACTTGGAGCAAATTTTCTGCCTCCTTGGAGATTGTGATGGCTTCTCAGGTCCCACATGTGAGAAGGTGGAGTGAGTGCCCTCTCCTGAAGGAAACTTCTAGGCAGAGTGTCATCCACCGCAAGGCTGGTGGGAAGCTAGGATTCTCGTTCAGCTGCATGACCGCCAAAACAAATGTCTTTTAAAATTAACTTAAAGCAAACGAAACTAGAGGGTTTCTTTAGGTTTTTCTCTGGTCACAATTTCAGAACCTAATTTTGCTGTAGACCGGAGCCGTGGTTCTCATGGCTCTGGGTGCAGCAGCATCAGCACCTAAATTCTCAGGCCCCGCAAGGCCACCAAATGAGAAACAGTCCAGGTCATGTGATGTGAGCAAGCTCATGTTTCAGTACCGAGAGAAGCTGACAGTGGAAAAGCTGTTTCCCTCTGGGGGTTGAACCCAGGGCCTCGCACGTGTTAGGCACCGCTAGCCTTCCAAATTCTCTTGTAATGCGTCATGTATTTCCATGAAACCTCTGTGACGATGTATGCTGATGTGTGTACATTCTTGTCATTTTGCACTGTCTCGTTAATATCCATGTGAATCATGAAACACAGGCTAAACAGATCTAAGAAAGTAAAGGAATAGAAATGCTAGCTATAGCAGGCCGCTCCAGCCGCACGGAGGCCACTCGAGTGGCAGTGCCAGGTGGCCGCTCCAGCTTTTGGTTTCACGATAAAGTTACTGTGCTTAACTTGAGGCGCTCCACGTACCCACGCCCTTTGCAGCCTTTCCGCACTGGGCAGACAAGACCGCCCTCGGGGATTCCCACCCCACCGCACCCCACGAGCCCCTAATTCTCGTCCGGAATTCCGCGGGGCCCCGCCCTCAGTCCCGGAAGATACGGCCCTCTCCCCCGGAAGTTCTGGCCCCGCCCCCGGAAGTCCCTGGCCCCGCCCTCCCCCCCGGAAGTCCCTGGCCCCGTCCTCACCCCGGAAGTCCGCGCGACACGGCCCTCACTCCCGGAAGTCTGCGCGACCTGGCCCTCCCTCCCGGAAGTCCCTGGCCCTGTCCTCACTCCGGGAAGGCCTGGCCCCGCCCCCTCTCCCGGAAGTTCCCTGGCCCCGCCCACACCCCGGAAGTCCGCGCGACACGGCCCTCACTCACGGAAGTCTGCGCGACAAGGTCCTCTCCCCCGGAAGTCCCTGGCCCCGCCTTCGCCCGGAAGTCAGCGCGGCTGCGATTCCCCACACTCTCGCCGGTTTGCATCCGTGGATTGCGGCGCAGGTGCGCGCGCCCCGGTGGGGTCCAGGGCGGGTGGCCCCGCGCTTTTCCCCCGCGTCGTGGGCGCGTTCTGCGTTCCCACCTTCAGCTGGGCCTGCCCAGGGGTGGCACTCGCGGCCTCTTGGTCCTCCACGTCGAGTGGCTCCCGCGACCCGGGTCGTCCTCCGCAGAGGGCAGCGTCCTCTCTCGGACCCGTAAGCCCGGGACGCGGGGCCGATTGCGGGCTGAGCAGACCTGGCCCTGGGATGCGCGTGTGTACGGGCGCGCGGGGCCTGGGCGTCTGTGGACCTTGAAGCGGAGGGGCGAGTCGTAGCCTTACCTTGGATTCATGAGGATTTGGGGTCAGAGGCCTGACGGCGAGGCGTGGCCGCGGGGCCGCCAGAGCCGGTCTGCAGGCGGCCGTGTGCGGGGCCCGCTGGGGACGGGCTGTACTTCCAGCAGCTGGCGGAGAGCAGGGAGAAAGCTGGCTCTCCCGTGACACGGGGGCCTCCGCCATGGTGGCGCTTTCGGTTCCCTTTCCCGTGGAGGCCAGCGTGGGGGAGAGGAGGTCCTGCAAGGCTCTGCTAGGGTGCCGGAAGCTGCGGGCTGCTGGGGGCTAACGAGGGTCCCCGAGTCTGCGGGCGATGTGGCCCCCCAAGTGTAACTGAGTGGAGGGCCCTTGTGGAGGGGGTCCCCTGGGGATCCTGTGACCTCCTGGGCTGCAGGCAGACCCGGGCAGTCCCTGACCTGGGGGTTCCGTGGGCCTGTGACTGCAGGGCTCGTGGTGCACGATCTTCCCAGCAGGAGGACCCCGCTCCAGGGATGTACATGCAGGTGGAGACGCGCACCAGCTCCTGCCTCCATCTGAAGAGGGCTCCGGGCATCCGCTCCTGGTCCCTGCTGGTCGGTAAGGCTTTCCAAATTCCCCCCAAGACAAACTCTAAAAACCAGTGAAAACAAGCCCATCTATTCCTCTTTTGTTCTATACCCAAAAACAGAGGATCTATTTTTTTTTTTTTTTGGTATCCTGTTAGATGTTCTATCTAGAAGGTGTTACCCATCATGCATGTCTGTATTCAACACTCAGTGTGTTTTTCCTTTCTTCTCTCTCCTTTTTTTTCCCTTTTCCCTTCCTGATCTCCTGCACTGAGATCACTGAGATGCACCCCCAGCCCTGGTGTGCTTTTCTGAGATCACTATGTTTCCTCTTTACTTGCTGATCCATGGGATTGGCAATCATGGGTTCCTGTTTTTCCTCTTCTCTGTCTTAGTCCCCCTCACGAGTCCACTTAGCCTCCTGGCCTTCCTCCCCTGTTTCTGCCCATCAGGAGGGCCCTGCACCCTCAGGGACAGCTGCACTTGGTGTTGACTGGACATGGTGTGAGGTGAGGCACTGGCTGTGCTTTCTGCAGCTGAGTCTCTGTGGCCCATCTTTTCTGTGACACACAGGAGGCCACTTATGTGCTCTGCTGTGCTCTGTACTCTGTGTTGTAATTTTTTGTGTACAGTGTTGTCTTCATTCCTCACCACACGCTGTCGGGTAATACCTGTGTCAGGCTCCTTTGTGCATTCCTGGGTCAGCTCCAAACGTGTCTAGGGAATACAATGGCTAATACTATGATTTTGAACAAATTTCTTGTTTCCTCCACTCTCCCTGGTCTCCACCTGCTATGCCCCAGAGCATAGCCATTCTGCAATGGGGAGGGCCCACTTTCCAGGGGTGGCAGCACTGGGAGGAGGTAGGACTCCCACTGGGTTCTACAGCAGAGCACTCAATCTCTCCCTGCAGGAATCTTGTCGACTGGCCTGGCTGCTGCCTACTACAGCGGAGGTAAAGTACACCATCCCTCTGGAAAAGAAGGGAAAGCTGTCATTGTGAGCAGTCACCTCCTCACCTAGTGCAGGGCCACTTTCCTACAGTGGAATGCTTGCCCCACAGACCACTCCCCACATCCGAAATCTCAAGCATTTCCTATGTCGTGAAATACTTTTTTTTTGTGGTACTGTAGTTTGAACTCAGCGCTTCACGCTTGCTAGGCAGGCCTTCTACCACTGAGCCATTCTGTTAGCTCGCGAAATACTATCGGAAGGAGGTTCTTTGGTATCTGCCTGGTGCCCACCTGCAGGGAGAAGCTATGCTCTCCACCTTTTCTCCATCACTAGTTTGTGTCTCCCAGGTGGACCCCCTACAGAGCTGGGCAGAGATTTCAGTGTGTGTGTCTGAGTGACCAAGGCAGGGCCAGCAGCACAGCTTATTGCCTGAGGCCCTTACAAGAGGCAGGGTCAGCCAGGGCTGGGCCTCCTGTGGGTATGTTGCCTTCACCCCATCATTCATGCCTGGTGTCCTGTCTGCCTACAGATAGTCTAGGCTGGAAGCTCTTTTACGTCACAGGCTGCCTGTTTGTGGCCATACAGAATTTGGAAGACTGGGAGGTAAGGCAGTGCAGAACCATCCCCCACCCCCAACACACACACACACACACACACACACACACACACACACACACACACTCTTTAAGCATTTGTCATACTTGGAGGTGTCTGTTCAGCTGGACTCAGACTTGGGCTTTCCCTGTGATCATCCATGCACCAAGGGCTCTCCTAAAAATGCCTCATGACTTTTCACCAAAGTTTTTTGTTCCTGGACTGCCACAGGACAAGGGGCAAGTCTGCACTATCCCTCTGGGATAGCCCTCCTCCTTCCCTGGGTGCCCTTGAAGTCCTTGAAGCTGTTTGACCTGATGCTGCTCTCTGACCTTTTTTTTTGTTGTTTGATGGCCTTGCTGCTGTTCCCATTGCAAAGAGCAGAGGAAACTTGATGGGTCAGACAAAAACATAGGCTCTGGTAGAGAGCACTGGGACCCTTCTTGAGTGTCCTCTCTGGGGTGGGTGGGGATGATATGTTGGTATCCACTTGATCCTCTTCTTGGAGGTCTGTGTGTGGTCAATGCACATTGGTTTGCAGGAAGCCATCTTCAACAAGAGCACCGGGAAGGTTGTCTTAAAAACATTCAGCCTCTACAGGAAGCTGCTGACTCTTCTCAGAGCAGGCCATGACCAAGGTAAGGTGTGAGGAGTTGGGGTACAGTGCAAGTTTGGGTCCAAGTCTGCCTGCTTAATGGCTGGGGTATCCCCAGACAAGCCCTGGCTTGCAGGGTGGAATCCAGCCATCTGCCCCACTTCCTGAGGTCTTCTTTGTACTTTAGGGGCTTGGCCTGTCAGAGACAATGGGAGCCCCTCAGCAGCTCTTCTCAGGTGGGGTGGGTCACAGTGCCAGGCAGGCTGAGTTGTAGCAGTGAGCAGGTGGCTCTGAAGCCAGCCACCATCCTGCTCTCTAGGGGCCCCTGGTTTTCCCAGGCCCTGCTCCTGCTGCTTTGTCAGTTCTGCTGGGGTTGTAATGAGGGGCTGGATGGATAGAAGAACCCTCAACTGTGAACTTCTCTCGGGCCTGGGAGTTGGCCTGACTGTGGGTCAGCAAAAGGTTTTTATAGATGCATTATCCTGTGATGTGCAGGTGGCCATGTGAACATGCAGAGGCCCCTTGGTTGGGTGTTAAGTGAGTGGGGAGAGTTATCTGGAGGGGTCAGGCCCCAAGGGTTTCTGGCCTTCTGATCTGTGTGGAGCCCTGGCCCATGCACAGCCCCAAAGGAGGCACAGATAAGGACCAGCGTTGCTAGTAGGCAGGGATTTAGCTCTGCACAAGCTATGCTTTTTTTTTTTTTGGCAGCACTGAGGTTTGAAACTCGGGGCTTGCTGGGCAAATGCTCACCACTCTGCCAGCCCCAAACTGCTTCTTTTTTTTATGGTCTGGTGCTTGAACTCAGGGCCTACACTTTGAGCCATTCTGCCAGCCCATTTTTGTGAAGGGGTCTCACAAACTGTTTGCCCAGGGCTGGCTTTGAACTGCGATCCTCCTGATCTCTGCCTCCTGAGTTGCTAGGATCACAGGCATGAGCCACTGGCACCTAACCAAACTGCTTCTTGATGGGGCCTGACGGATTGAGAGCCAGTCCCCATAGGCACCAGACCATAGGGTCAGCCCCAGCTCACTGTGGCAGCAGGAAGAGGCCCTGTAGGCTCAGCCTTGGGCCTTGGGAGGCTCAGCAGGAGGAGACTGTGCTAAGGCTCTTGGCAAAGCCAGATTAGCCACCCAGGTGCCTTCTCTGAGCAGCCACAGGAAGTGGCTGGTGGCTTGTAGCCCAGTAGCTGGCCACTGGAGCCCAGCGGGAGGGTTTTCAGTCTTGTGTAAAACTGGGGAGTAAGTGCAGCATGAAGATGGCACCTGGGGCTTAGGGGATCCTGGCTGGGGGGCTGCTGTGGACAGCACACTTTTGCCCTGGACCTGCAGCTGTGATAACAGTCTGTGAAACCCCACCAATGCTATAGTGACTATTGGCAGCCCTGAAGTGACCTGCTCTGCAGCATAGGCTGGGAGGGGGTAGTGAGGGGTTATGGTCACTGACCTATATCCCCCCCGCAGTGGTGGTCCTGCTGAATGATATCCAGGATGTGAATGTGGAGGAGGAGAAGGTCCGGTATTTTGGGAAGGGCTACATGGTGGTGCTCCGGTTTGCAACAGGCTTCTCCCACCCCCTTACCCAGAGTGCAGTCATGGGCCACCGCAGGTAAGGCAGGGGGCCCCTCTCAGGCAGGGTAGAATGTTCCAGCCCTCCTTGCTGACTGCCCAGCGTCAAGTTTATAGAGAGGACGTGGGAAGAATGCTGTGTGCCTGGGGGCAGCCTTGTCATGGTCATGTAGGGAAGCATCACAGAATGGGCTGGGGTCCCATGACAGTGGGTCCAGGATAGGAGGTGCTGGGACCAGTTTGGGACCCCCTAGGGTTGTTACAGGTGGGAGGCTGGCTGCTATGGGGTCCTCCCCTGTGCTGAGGTGACTTGGCCTCTGGTGCCGACCTTCCAGTGATGTGGAAGCCATCGCCAAGCTCATCACCAGCTTCCTGGAGCTGCACCGGCTGGAGAGCCCCTCAGAGCGGTCTCAGAGCAGCGATAGTGAGACTGACGGCCCCAGCAATCAAAGCTGACAGCCCAGCAAGGCTGCGGTGAACACTATCTACAGTGTCCCCTTGGCCACAGCTTCTGACAGTGTCTGCAGCTAACTGGCCAGGCAGATCTTGGATACCTGCCTATGGCTCCCTGGCAGCCTTAGGTGGACCACCTGCCTCTTGCTTGTGATGCTGCTGCTTCTACCCTGCACAGAACTACAGGCTGGACCTCCTCAATGGCCCAGAAGGGATGGGCTGGGTCTGTCAGGATGCAGTGCTCAGGAAAGGTCAAGGGACATGGAGCTCAGAAATCAGTGCCTCTTTTAATTGGTTAGCAGCTCCCTGCTTGGATAGTGTGGGGTGAGGGCAACAAGCAGTGTGACCTGGTCTGGACAAGCCCACCCCAAAGCAAGTGAAACAGGATGCCCTGGCTTTGTCCAGCACTGGGCCAGGGCCTGGCCTGGAGTTCAGAGCTTGGCTTACAGGGAGAACTTGATGTCTGCATGTGTGTGGGGAGGGCCTTGCCGCTCTGTAGAAACCACACCAGTATGCTGCTATTGGGAATCCTGGCATCTCCTTTCCCTGCCCATCCTCTGTGGTTGGGCTTCCTGCTGAGGGCAGCTCTGGCTGCTAGGGTGGGGGTCAGGTGCTGGCTGTGTGGGCTGCAGTGCTCTCAGAGGCTGCCTCTTCCTAAGGATCTGCTGATGCCAGGAAAATCAGCATGCTGACCCTGTCCAGATGGCTTATCTTAGATCCCACCAGGACTGCAGTGCAGCTGTGGACCATGGGAGGGCCTCAGCAGAAGCCACTTGTGGAGGAGAGAGGTCACCCATCTAGCATCCTGCAGTGCCCAAAGATTGGGAGCTCTTGCAGAACCAAGAAACAAACTTCTGAATCTCTGGGATACTGGAAGCTAGGAATGGTGGTGCATGCTTAGAATCCCAGTTCTTGGGAGGCTGAGACAGGAGGATCTAGAGTTTAAGGCCACACAGCAAGACCCTGTCTTAAAAACAAAAGGACAAAAGACCTGCAGGAGTGGCCCCACCTTTTGTCTACAGCACCCCTCCTAGAAGCTGGTGTCAACTGCTGATAACCCACACCTGCTCTGCTGGTCTTCTGAGTGCCCTCAAGGTGTAACGTGCATTAAGAGAGCCCCGCTTGGCCTGAGAGCTGTGGACCCTTGGTCTGCCCCCAGGAGGCTGTGTACTTAGGCATGGCCAGGTAGAACTGGGAAAGTGCAGCGTCACTCAGACATGGGCTGAGGCTGCCTTGAGGCCATGGCACCTTGGGCAGGGCAGGTCTTCCTGCTTAGCAGTGGCTGCCTACAAGCCCTGATCTGGGAGGCATGGTCCTTTAAACAAGTCAAAGTCAGCTACTTCAGTGGTTGAATCTGAGATGTTTTTTTTTACTAAAATAAAAAGTGAAAGACTGCCTATTCTGGCTCTTAGGATGATAAGGGAGATGCCTATCCTCAGGGGCTGTCAGTCCCTCACTGCATTGCCCCAGGGCTGGGACTTTGACCTGGGTGCAGGAGGAATGAAGCACACCATAAGCCAGAGTGGTCTGTAAAACCTTGGTTTGAATTTTGGTAGTGGGACTTAGGCTTATACTGTCCTTTATTTTCAGAAAAATCAATAAAGCTCCACAGGCAGATCATAAAACAGGTCCCATGTGCCTTGTCCTGTTGTTTCTTGCTTTCCCCAGAGGTTACTTTCCTGCACAAAGCTGCCCAGGGCTCAGCAGGAAGAGCACGTTGGGGCTGGATGGGACAGCCACTTCAGCCCTATGCTGTCCAGGCTGATAGCACAGGCTCCAGCCCTTGCAGGAGACCCTCAGGGATGTTGATCCTGGTCCCAGCCAGCGCTGGTGGGTGGGGGCTGGTGAGCCACCTCACTGAGGTCCTGCAGCAGGCCCTGCAGTTGCCGCATGCTGGGGTACACGTTCTCCTCCAGCCATTCCTCCACGGCGTCTGGGTAGAGAACCAGCTGCAAGGCCCCCTCTAGTCGCTGCACAAGGGTGCTCCACCTGCCCAGGAGGCTGAGGATAGCAGCAGCCATGAGCTTGTCTGGCCAGGACTCAATGGCTCATGGTCAATGCACTCTACACTCACATCCTTAGCCCCACAGGTCACCAGTGCTCTGTGCCTCACTTTCCCTATTGGGACAACTCAGCAAATCGGTCATATTTTTAACACCTGAAACTGGAATGTATTTTACATTTAGCTATCAGTTTCTCTGGTGGCACACGAATGGGTCATCCTGTTGATAGCATCTTGCACTCTGGGGAGACAGCCTGTGATAGGTCAACTCACAGCCCTGAACCAGGAGATGATTGGGAAGGCTGCCTGGGACTCACAAAGACACAGGGCTCTCAGCCCGGGTCCTCCAGACTGCAGTCAAGCCAGGATTGACCCCAGGTGGCCTGATTTCCAAAATGAGCCTGGGACCTGCCTGGGCAGGTGGGTGACGCCCCCTCTTATGCTAAGAATGACCTACCTTCTCACTAACGTTAAGACGGTGTTAGTGAACAGTGGAGCAAATCTGATTCATCCAAGATCTACAAATGCAACACCTGGAAACAGCTCAACGCTGACTGCTACAGGTGGTACAACTCTAAGGGCACAAGCTGCCCCAGGGGCTGGGCACCTGGGAAGGTGAGACAGCGCGTTTACCTGAGTGCCTCTGGCTGTATGTGCTGGATCATGACAGGGTGAATGAGCTTCCGCTGGCGATGGTAGGGGCTGAACCAGCCAGTGACATACCTGGGGCGAATCCAGACAGGTGTGTTCACTGGACCAGTAGTGGTTAGTAGGCAGCCAAGGGGGCTTTATAATAACACCCTAGGGAAACTTAACAATGTGGTAAAAGTTTTAAAAAGTCACGTCCCCCTAGAAAGCCTTGTGAAAGACAAGACAAGCAGGGATGTGGGGGCCTGCTTACCTGTTCCTCTCCAGAAGTGTGTCCACGGAGGTGCGCAGGTGGAGGCTGACTTGTGTGACGAGTGCATGGATGTCACTACCAGGGAAGGAGCCGGCCCCTTCACTGCCAGAGAGCCACACTGAGAACAGTGGTTCCCAGGGAGGAAGAGGAGGGGTGGGCAGGTGGGGGTGGGGCTACCTCACAGCATCCATTATTTCCAGGCTAGAAACCCCGAGGAAGTTCTCCACTCTCAGTTTAACATCCTCAGTGAAGCCTCCTGAAACCAACCACAGTGGGGAGCTGTTGGAAGGGCCTCACTGTCCAGACCTCTAGGCTCCTAGGTGCTGTGGGCAGTAGTTGCAGCAGGGGCGGGGCAGCCCCAGCTGGGCCCAGCTCTGCAAGTGCTGACTCCAAGGAGACCCTGGAAATGGGCCAGCCCTGCACTTCTCATTGAACACATCAGCGGTGTTTGTCACAGATCAGGAGAACGGTGGTGCCAGCAGCACCACACCAGGAGGAGCCCTGACCTCCCTGTGGAGCCCATCCTGCAGGTGGAGTTTGCACCCAAAACTCACTCTACGGTGGAATATTCTAGAGCACCTAAAGCAAGCCAGTGGGGCTATGGTACCAGTGCAGACACACCTCCGAGTCAGCACAAAAGGCTGTCGTGGGTGGGCAGAAGGCAGGGTCCCCCAGTTCTGTTTTGTAGAGGTGCTCTTGGAAAAGGCAGCACCAAAGCAAATAGCGCTTACGTCAGCCTCTGCAGAGTGGGTAAGGGGTGGCTGTGCCCACCTCGTCCATGCGTTTCTGTGCAGAGTCCAGAATGAATGCTGAGAAAAGCTGAAATACTTGGCCCCTACATCCTCCCACTGCCATTGTGCACAGCTCTGCCTCTCCTAATGACACATCTTCAGGCCTCAGCTTTCCTCACTACATCTGGACGTCGTTCTGCGTCAGCACACAAAACTGCCCGCATAGTCCTGTGCTTCAAATGTGCATGGTTTATTTCACCATGGTTCTGCTCTGACCACCTGCCTGGGTGGTCTGGGTTGGGAGCACTGGGCTAAGGGGACCCCCAGGGATGGGACACCCTGTTCTGCAGAACCTGCCTCACAGCTCTCAGAACATTTATGCAGCATCCCTATGAAGACTTGAGTTTCTTCTGCAAGTTCACTGCGTCTGAGGGACTCATCCCTCTGACTTCCTGGCCTGTTTTAGGTTTAGGCTTAAGGACCTGGGTTTGGGTCAGCCTGGGCCAACAGTAAGCAAGCAGGTGGTTGGGGCCATGGGAGTATTCTCTCTAGTGTGGAAGACTACAGCTCAGTCCAAGCAGGCAGTGGTCAGGGGACATCCAGTGCTCGGCCTCCTGCCCTCCCATCTTGCCAGGAGGAGCCAGCAGCACTAGGGCTACTGGCTGGACATACCATGTAGGAGTGACTGCAGACAGACGGCCAGGGACGGAATTCCCACGGGGAGCAGTTCACATAACACCGAGTAATGGTCGTACCTATGTTCAGGAGAGGGGCACTCAGCTCTGTGGCTCTCGGCCAGCCCTGATTTGGGGTAGCCTTGCTCCTGTTCTAGGGTCCTTGAAAACAGCCTGGCCCAGGGGTTCAAAGTGGGTTCTGTATGGTGGGGGCTTGGTATTAGAATTTGTTGTTGCTTTGCCACCTGTGCCCAGCCCCCACCCTGAACACACCCTAGGGAAGCTTCTGTGGAGCTGTCCTCATCCCTCCCCCACGACCTTTTCACCTCCTGGAGGCTGTGCCCTGGCACCCCTTCTCTGGGACCTTTGCTGTAGCCTGAGCCCAGCCTGTCTCACACTTTTCCCTAAAGCCCCATGAAGATGACAGGTCACACTGCTGCAGGGTGCTCTACCTGCCAGAGCCTTGGTTTCTCAGTTATAGGAGTAGAAAGGCCAGCAGGTGTGGCAGGTGGAGCCAAGTGGACGGGGCCAGATGACTCCACCTCATTATCTCATTTGGTTCTCCTTGACTTTGATGGGATTCCCAGCCACTGTTCTATGCATGGAAAGGAGTGTTTTATTTGGGACAGTCCTGGTTTAGTCCACACTCTGACGCACCCCGTGCCTGCATGGTAGATGCCTGAGGAATCTTCATGGGAGCCATCTAGAAGCTTCTGTGGAGCTGGCTGTCACCTCTGGACATGTACTGGAGCTGTGAGCGACCCTATACCAGCAGCCAGGCTGGCCAGCCTCACTTGGGCAGCCCAGAAGGCCCAGCCCTAGAGCTGCATCTTAGAATCCTTGATGGCTCCAGAGGGATGCCTCCCCCATAGGGGAAGAGCAGCCTCAGCTGTTCTACTGGCAGATCTGCCTGGCTTCCGCCCTTCCTACTTGAATGTGGGACCAAGGCCAGAACTTGACCAAAGACTAGGTGTTAATTTGTAGCTCACTTTTCAAATGGCGTTTAATTCTGAAGGAGCCAAAATCTGTCCTAATGGCTGCCATGCCGAACATGAGACAAAGGGCTTCACGAGCGGAGCACAGGCAGTGCTGGGGGCAGGAGGACCACATACGTGTGGCCCTGAGTACACCAAGCCCCAGTTCTGCTGGTACCCTCAGCAGAGTTGAGGTGCTGGTTACAGGAGTATGAGGGGCTCGATTTAGGAAGGCCAAAGCCAACACTGGATGGACCACGATGGGGGTAATGGGGTCTGTTTCAGGCTTCCCAGAACAGGCCTCCCTGAGAGCTCACCTCTGCCAGCCAGTCAGGATGACCCTGCAGCACGTCCGCTGGCCCACTGCCTGCCACCTGCAGCCACTGTGTGTGGTTCCTGAGGTGGTGCTCTACAGGGGGCAAGGTCTGGTTGGCCCCCGTGGCACCTTTGAAGGCACTGGCAGCCCACAGCCGCAGAAAACCGCACTCCCGGTACTTTTCCATGAGGAGGACTGGGCAAGAAAGCAAGCAGGTGAGCAGGCCCATGGAAATGGCCTGCTGTGAAGGTCCAGGATATACAACTCCAGGTCACACACTCATCCTGACCCATCAATCAGAGCAACCCATGATCTATGCTACCACCTCCGCCCCCACCATCTAGCAGATGAGTGGCCCTTAGTTCACCAGCTCATTAGGAAAAGACCTTCGAGAACTGGGAAGAAAGAACATCTGTGAGGGGCAGACAGCCTGTGACTGCCCAGGCTTGCAGGCTCCTCCAGCACAGGGTCTGCAGTGAAGCAGGAGTAGAGCCAGGGCAGAAGGCTGTGCTGGCCAGCAAGCTGACAAGGCCTGCATCCCCCAGGTTGGGCAGTCAAAGTTACAGGGGACAGGGAATAGGGGAATAGCCCATCCAGGCACGTGGGCCATGAAGGGCAAATCCCAGACAACCTATACTGACCCTTGCTGTGGACATCCAGGTCAGCCCCATAGTCCCAGAGCACAGGTTCCACCAGTTGCGGCACCCCAGACACTGGAGACAGAGTGAGGTTATGAGTGCAGACAGGACTGTGCAGGCCACACCCCCACCTCCTCAAACACCTTTTTTTTTTTTTTTTGATAGAGGGTCTTGTTGTGCAGCCTAGCTCCAACATATTTTTGGCATTAAAATGGGAACTTAGACCATCTTCTCAGGTCATGTGGGTTTTAAGTACAGGTGTGGCGCTCTGCTAGGTTTTTGCCTGTGAACATTACAGACATGAACAATGCTTTGGAAATGACGGCTCTGGAAGCTCGTCCCAGAGCATCTGCCTCAGCATCCCAGGGCGCCCTGGAGCACATCTCTAACTGAAGTGAATTCCAGTTCATTAAGACACATGGGTAGCTGCTGCCACGAGGACAGGGCAACCCTAGGACCCAGAGGCCTCAAAGAAGTGTGGGGAACCACAGCCCTGGATCTCCAGGGTACCTGGGCTCTGCATGGAGCAAGGGGATGTGTTCAATGCCACTTTCCACGCTGGGGAAAGCACTCATCAGCTCTCATCCCCAAGGCTGTGAACCTGGCTCTGGGCCCCTGGAGGAGCTGGCCACTGCCCTCCATGTAGCTGATCCAGAGGCCAGCCTGAACCTATGCCTGTGCCTGCATGGGGCTGGCCATGGAGAATGTGTGGGGCTGAGGCTGCCAGAGGCACTGGGCACTCCCACTGCCCCTCTGGGCAACTCAGCAGCCCACACCTGCTCTCAACCTCTGCAGGACTCTGCCGAGACTATAAGGGAAAGACAGAGACCTGACATTTTCATCAAAGCACACATAAAAAGTGGTTCTTGTGGGAAGCTCACTTGCAAGACCTCTTAAGTCAGAGGTCTTGGGGAGCCACATGTAAGCCTTCACCCACCCAGGCCCCATGCGGCCAACCTGTGAGCTGGTCCTGGGGGATATCCCGCAGCATGTCATCCCACACCAGCGGTGTAGTGCCGGGGTGCTGGGCCAGGACGTGACTGGCCACTGCCCGCACATGGGACAGACACAGCTTTGCATGGCTGTTCTGCCTCTGTTGCAGCCACTGTCTTGAGGCCTCCCCCTCACCCAAGTAGTAGACCTGGAGGAAGAAATAGGACAGGTTTGCCTCCGGCACTGCCCTTGGCACAGTGGGGTTCCCAAAGTGACCTAAGACTCGAGCAGCCATGTATGTGGAAGAGAACAGGGAGATCTGCCTTCTTCACAGTCCTCAGCTTCCCTCAGAGGCCCTCTGGGTTCAGAGCACTCTGCTCAGATCACCAAGAGGCAGAAAACCCTGTCCATTCCTCGGGGAGTAGGTGATGGGATATTCCTGACACATGCTACAATGTGGATGAGCCTTGGCCTGCATGTACTATGGCATTGAAAGAAGCTAGAGGTAGAAAAGGCCCACATTGTGTCATGCCATTTATGTGCAAGGTCCAGACTAGGTACATCCAGAACAGGCTGGATGCTCTCAGAGGCTGTGAGGGGATGGGTGGGGGGGGCTTCCCTTTAGAGCAATGGATGTGCTCTGCAGTGAACTAGGCACAAGGTTACACGACATCATGAATGTACCGTGAGCTGCTGAGGTACACACACACTCACATACAATTCCCTTAAAAAAAGAAAGGGAAACCTTGGAACTAAATGTTTGCAAATCCAAGCCTAGTTCAGGCTTCCCTAGGGCTACAGACCTGCAGAGGCCTTGGGGCTCAGAGTCTCCCCAGGACCTGCCACACCACTGGAGTCAAGCCAGATATTCAGAGGAGCTAGGGCAGCCTGCTGGGGGACTGGGTGTACCCGCAGGCACCCCAAGAGACCACCTTTCCCAGCTAGAGTTTCAGGGTCCAAAAGTAACCCTTCTTCTTCTTACCATCCCAAACTGCATTTCTGTGGCTAGAACAGTCTAGAGGCATGAATCTGTCCTGACTGGTTCTGTCTATGTTAGGGGTAGCACAGCCATTTCCGGTCCCAGCCTGTTCCAGTGGGTGGTGGTCTCATCTGACCTATAGGAGTCCTACTTAGTCCCTGCAGGATTGCCCCACGGAGACCCTCTCCAGAGACATTGGCTACAACAGCTCCCTAAAAGGAGCTCCCAGAAACTATAGGGCCTGTGTTGTGGTACACACCTGTAATCTCAGCACTGAGGAGGCTGTGGCAGGAGGATCACAAGTTCCAGGCCAATCTGGGATACACAGGCAGACCATGTCTCAAACACAAACAGCATATCAGCTAGGTGCAGTGGCTCATACCTGTAATCCTAGCTACTCAGGAAGTAGCTACACAGGGCCCTGAGTTCAAAACCCAAATTGCAAAAAACTAAAACAAACAAACAAAAAACCCTAAAACCAAAAACAAAAGAAAAAAAAAAACTGACAAAAGACAAGATGATGTTGAAGAGAAGAGGCTGCCATAGACCTGGCAAGTGTGGGGAGGGGGCGCTGGGGGTGGGTGAGGCACTTACCTCGTCACACCCAATGTGGAGCCACCGTGCGCCCTTGTGTAGCTCCAGGATCTGGTCAGTCATTGCTCCCACCAGTGCCAGGGACTCAGCCTCATGAGGGTTGAGGGTGTTGGGGAAATGCACCACTTCCCGGAGGTGAGCAAACTCCGCGTGCTTCAGCACAAACTGGGGGAAGACAGGGGGCTGAGGGAGGTAGGCTGATGCCTGAGCTCCTCTGGCCCATGTGTCTTTGGCAAGGGCTCCCGGCTGCTGCTGCCCACTGTGAGAATCTCTGCTCATAGTCTGCCTCTGGCCTGCAGCTCACTCCTGACTCTTCTGGACGTGTGTAGCCACACAGGCTCCAGAGCTCCCGCAGGGCAGTAGCCTCTGGCCCACTCCCAGCTGAGTCCTTCAGTTGGCTCCTCAGTTGCCGGTTAGCCTCCCAGTTCTAACTGGACTGGGTGACAAAACTGAAGAGGCAGGTTCCATCTTCAGAACTTGTAGGCACATACTTCGGGTTGCCACAGTATGAAGAGGTTGGCAGAGCTCCCCAATAGGTACAAAAGTGACAGCCAGTTCAGAGCTCTGGATGTCAACCAAACTGAGAAATGCTTGTGAGTGGTGGGGCAGCCTTTTCACTGAGGGCTTCTCCCTGCTCTCCCCATTCAGGGTCCCTAGCTGTGAGAACCAGCAGCCTCACCACAGAGAGGACAGTCTTGAGAGGGGCTAAGTCAACCCTTCCCTGCTCCCTCATGCCATCTGGAAAAGCAGCCAGAGCCAGCAGGGAAACCAGGAAGGTGCAGGCTCAGAGAGGGCTATCGTGATGCCAGAGGCTACAAGAGTCAATGAGAGGACAGAAGCCTGTCATGATTTGGTGATGTGGAGGATACTGGTGGTGGGAGCCAGAGACTACATCGGCCCCAGGACCCAGGATGGCACAGCAGGGAAAGTGTACTAGGAAAGTCATCAGGGCTGAATTTTAGGAGAGAATTCTGGAAGGCATGCGGCAGAACCCCAGGAGGCTCTAAGCAGAAGCACCCTCCTCCGCATGGTGCAAGCATGAGCAGGAACCAGGCTGCTGATAAATCTAGCAAGTTACTATTTTGTTTTGTTTTTAGTGGTACTGTGGTTTGAAACCTCAGCCTTGTGCATACGAGGCAAATGCTCTGCTACTTGAGCCATGCCCCCAGCTAACAGAGTATTTGTTAGAGGAAAAAATACAACTAAAGAGTCATTAAATCAACACTGTGTTTGTTTCCTAGTTGTCTGACTTACACAAGAAAAATTTTTTTGAATAGTAAATGAGAAAAAGACACAGGCAGAAAATGGAAGCTGCTTCTGCTCCCCAGCAGAGCTGCCCTTACCAGGAGCTGTGTGTTCTGTGGTCACAGGGCCAGTGCTTCCTAAACCAGTGGCCTCTCAGGGTAGCACTGGTCTGTGGCTGTCTGCTACCCCACACATGGGGCCCTTGCCGCCCCGCCCCCATCCCAACCAGGCACCAGGTAATGTCCATCCTTGCCACTCACCTCCATGTGTCCAAATGTCTGCACCAAGGGAATGACCTCCAGCTCATTGAGTTTGGCTAGATGCAAGATCTCGGCGACTTCAGAGGGGCTGCAGAAACACACACCACACAGAGGCTCACACCAGCCTGGTCAGCACCTTACTTCACTCTCCCAGCCCTTCCTCGTCAGGCTCTAACTACAAAGCTGGACAGATGCAAGGTTGCAGGGAAGGCAGCTCTGGGATTCAGGAGATGCTCTGTCACAGAGGCAGTCACTTCCACTGCTGCTCTTGCCGACCACTACAGGAAGACGAGGTCATTTTATAGCACAGACCAGGTTCTTCCAGCACAACCTCTTCAAAGCAGAGGCTGGCAAATCTACCCGTGGCTGATTTTTTTTTTTTTTGCACAGCCCTCAACCTAAGCATGGGTCCCATTAGGCCAACAGCCTACTGCACAGGGTCAATCCACTGCCCTGCTGTCAACTCTTTCAGTCTTTTATGAATTTATCTAAGTCTTTCTCTCTGTTTTTTTTGTTTGTTTGTTTTTTCTGTGGTTCTGGGCTTTGAACTCAGGGTCTTCACCTCGAGCCACTCAGCCAGCCCTTTTTTGTGAAGGGTTTTCGAGATAGGGTCTTGAGAACTATTTGCCCAGGCTGGTTTCGAATGGCAATCCTCTTGATTTCAGCCTCCTAAGTAGCTAGGATTACAGGTGTGAGCCACTGGCATCCAGTGAATTTATCTAAGTCAAACCATCTCTTAAGTTAACCAGTTCTATAAATTTAATCATACAAGTTTGCTTTTGCTGTAAATATTCATGATTCCAGCTCCAAAGGAACTGTGGGCTTTTTTCACTTTGAAAGACAAACAAAATATGGCAAAAAACATAGCAGTGCACAAACATGCAAACCACTGACAAACCAGCCGTGGCGTCCATGCTCTGCACCTTTCCCATCTTCTGTGTGCTCACATGTGGTATGTTGGCAAGGGTGTGTTAGAGAACTCGACACCCAGACAGACCCAAACTGCCCTGCAGAATGGCTGGGCTTTTACATCCCACCAGAAGAAGGTTCATTTTTCCTCATGCCATGATCACAGAGTACTGTGACTTAGTTCATTGAGACAGTCTTGCTAAGTAGCCCAAGCTGGCCTCAAACTTGTGATCCTCCTGCCTCAGTCACCCAAGTGCTTGGATTATAGGCTTGCATCACCAGCCTGGCTAAAGAATCAGCAATGTGTTTTTCCCTCCAGTGCTGGGGATGAAACCTAGGGCCTCCCTTGTGCTTGACAAGTGCTCCACCACTGACCTACACCCCCAACTTAGCACTAAAAGTTTTTAAAAGCTTCAACTCATTAGCCAAAATGGCACAGCACAGTTGTTTTGATTTCTTTGATTTCTGAGAAAGTAACATTTTCTTATATACTTATTGGCCACTTCTACTTTTTTCAGGGTCTGCCAGCTCACAAACTTTACTCCTTTTCCTTTGGACTATCTGACCCAGGGAGATGTCATTGAAGCTAAACACCCCTTCTCCACCACATCTGATTTTACTGATTTTGATCCCATCTCTTTAACCTGCATCCTGACTTTAGACCTGGACTGCAGCATTAAGAGCAGGTCATTCACACCTCCCCCCTCCTTCCATCTCCTGCCTGCCCAGTGTCCTCTGCACACCTCCTTGGCAGACTGGAGACTGGGACACAAGTGGCAGCTCATGGGGTCCTGGTGGATGCTTACTTTTGCTTTTAAATGTTTGTTTTAATTTCATAGTCTATTTGGGTAATTAAAAATATACCTTCAGAAAGTCAGGAAAGGAATATACCCACCACAGTTAGATTCCTGCCTGTCCTACCCACATCTCTAGGCACACCTTCCCGCCTGGAGACCCTCAGATCCCTTGGCTTTCTCTGCCGGCTGTCCAATACCTGTAGGCATGCTTGGCCCTCAGCAGCCTCAGGTGGCCCTCGTAGGGAAACATATCTTCATACTCAATGAGGAGGCCGTTTGCACCTAGAGCGCGGAACAGAGGAAAAATCTGGGGGAGACAGGGGTGTTAGGAAGTGACTGAACAGATGGCAACTTCTGTGCATCGTAGACTTTCTCTCTAGGCTTTGGAGAAGGATGGGAGCTGATAGTCATATTTTTCCTGGAAACTTTAACTGGACTGTGTACTTTATGTTACACCAAATAAAACTCTCATTTAGTGATTTGTCTATTTTGCACAGGAGGGGTAATATGCTGTTGAATAGAGCTGTCAGTAAACAGCAATCAACTCTGGTGGCTTTGCTGGGGAGAAGGCTCAGGCCAGTGGGGACAGAAGTTATACAGAGGTGCACCAGAGGGGCCAGAGCCTAGGGGCATACCTAACACACAGAACCAGGGCAGAAGGAGGGGCAGCCCAAGGGGCTCTGAAGGGCTGGGGGTCAGGTGGGGAGGAAAGGCAGGTTGGGAGAGTGCTAAGGAGGGGGTGAATGCTCACAGGGCTCCTCTCCCTCATTCTCCCACCACTTCCTTCTCTATGTTAAAAGGCAGGAATTTCTCTATCAAGGATTCTTTTTTGTTTTTTTATTGTTTTATTATTCATATGTGCATACAAGGCTTGGGTCATTTCTCCCCCCTGCCCCCACCCCCTCCCTTACCACCCACTCCGCCCCCTCCCTCTCCCCCCCACCCCCTCAATACCCAGCAGAAACTATTTTGCCCTTATCTCTAATTTTGTTGAAGAGAGAGTATAAGCAATAATAGGAAGGAACAAGGGTTTTTGCTGGTTGAGATAAGGATAGCTATACAGGCATTGACTCACATTGATTTCCTGTGCGTGTGTGTTACCTTCTAGGTTAATTCTTTTTGATCTCACCTTTTCTCTAGTTCCTGGTCCCCTTTTCCTATTGGCCTCAGTTGCTTTTAAGGTATCTGCTTTAGTTTCTCTGCGTCAAGGGCAACAAATGCTAGCTAGTTTTTTAGGTGTCTTACCTATCCTCATCCCTCCCTTGTGTGCTCTCGCTTTTATCATGTGCTCAAAGTCCAATCCCCTTGTTGTGTTTGCCCTTGATCTAATGTCCACATATGAGGGAGAACATATGATTTTTGGTCTTTTGGGCTATCAAGGATTCTTAGGACCTGTTCATGTCTACTGTTGAACACTTGACACTTTTTTTTTTTTCAGTCTGGCATTAAAGCCAGGGCTAAAAGACATCACAATGTTAGCACTGATGAGGGACTGTTGACATGCTTTCTATGATTTGTAAATCCTTTAGTTGATGGACCTATCGAAGTGTTTTTAGTGAAACGCCAAGCTCTGGAGCATGCTGATCTGAAGGAGGAAATCAGTTCAGGACTAAAAATTAGCTGTAGATAATTTATAAAATGGGTAATTAACAAGTGATTGCAAATCAGAAAGAGGCAGCCTGGCTGTGGGAAGAAGTAATCTAACCCAATAACCCACATACAGGTGAGTGCTTTAGCTTCTGGTTGCCTCTTTTGCCTCCTGTGACATCCTAATATCTGTGTGGGACACTGGGTGGCTCTGCTGCTGTGGGTCTGTAATGACCCTTTGTGCTGTAGTTATCTGAGAGGCTGAGACCAGGGAGGCCTGGGTCGCAAGACGCATGAACTGGGTGGCCTCTATGTACTGGACTGGGGCAGAGGTTTCCCTTGTAAAACTACAAAATTACAAAATACGAACAGGCAAAACTGATATCCATCGTTGCCTACATTTTGCCAATTTTATTTAAGCTAATTTCCATTTTTTGGCTGCAATACTTTAAAGAAAATCCCATTTTTTTCATTTGTAAATACTTCCAATTTGTATCTTGAAAAAAACCCCACAAAAATAGCTTGTTTGAATCAGATCCATATATTACATTTTTTTGAGGTTTTTTTTTTTTTTTTAAACATTTTCTCCTCTGCTTTTATTTATTTATTGGCAGCTGGGGCTTGAACCCAGGGCCTGATGCTTCTTAGGCAGGCACTGTCTGTACCACTTGAGCCATTCCACAGCCCCTGCTTTTTTTTTTTTGGTGGGACTGGGGTTTGAACTTAGGGCTTTGCACTTGCAAAGCAGGTACTCTTTCACTTGAGCCATGCCTCCAGTCCACTTTGCTCTAATTATTTTGGGGATAGGGTCTCTTGAACTAACAGGGCTGGTGTTTAACCTCGATCCTCCTATTTCAGCCTCCCAAATAACTAGCATTATAGGCATGGGCAACTGGCACCTGACTTCTTTAATTTGAAATTTATTTGTTGAAGAAACCAAGTCATTTGTTATGTATTATTTTCAAAATTTGGATCTGACTGCATTCTCAAGATACCCTTAGCATATCTATTTTTCATTACATTTTTTCTTTTTGGCAGTATTGGAGTTTGAACTCAGGGCCTGACACTTGCTAAGCAGGTGCTCTACAGTTGAACCAATCAGTGATGGATTTTTTCGAGATAGGGTCTCTCAAACTATTTGCCTGGGCTGGCTTTGAACCTTGATCCTCCTGATCTCTGACTCCCCAGTAGCTAGGGTTGCAGGCATGAGCAATCAGTGCTGGCTCATTTTTCCCATTGTCTTGATGTGAGGAGTTAGCAAAGGTATTACTTGAGTCAATTTTCATCATACTTTAGGTAGGAATGCTCCCAAAGGGCTATGCAGGGTCCATGTCTGTCCATTCCACCTGCAGAGATGTTGGCTGTCAGTGGTTCATGGTTCAGTTGGCATCGCCAGAACCTCTTCCCAAAGGCTGTAATGCCCTGTGAGTTACTGCCAACTAGGATTTCATCAGGGTTGAAGGTGCTGACTTTCTCTCGTTTTCTTTTTTTGTGGTAGTGGGGTTTGAACTTAGGGCCGACACATTGAGCCACTCCACCAGCCACTCCCCCACCTTTTTTTTTTTTTTTTTTTTTGGGAAGAGTTTTTTCGAGATAGGGTCTCTTCAACTATTTGCCTGGGCTGGCTTCAAGCTTCGAACTGTGATTCTCCTGATCTCTGCTTCCTGAGTAGCTAGGATTACAGGCATGAGCCACTGGTGCCCGGCTCTCTCCTTGTCTCTCCTTCCTTCCTTTCTTCTTCTTCTTTTTGTTTTTTTGAGATCTCACTATATGGCCCATGCTGGTCTCAAACTAGATACCCTTATGTCTCAGTCTTCCAAGTTCTGGGATTATAGCAATGCACCACTACACCTGGTTTTCTATTTTCTTGAGTATCTTAAGTCTGTCACTCCCTTTTCTGTTCTCATAAAACATTGCTGTCTAAATGGATAATGGCACTCTGGCTTTCTTTCCTTTTTATATGACTTGGAACTTTGTCCTGAATGCACCAAACTTGTTTTTTTTTTTCCTTTTCATTTTCATTTTCCTTAATGTCTGATATGTTTAGTAAAAATGTCTTGGTGTATGTACTTCATTCTGGATACATTTTCCAGAAACATGGTATGCCTTTCAATGTGTAGATTCAGGTATTTTTTTATTTCAGAGAAGTGTTTTTGAGTCATTGTTTCTTAGCATTGTTCTGTACCATTAGCTTTGGTTGTCTTCTTTGGGGAATGCTGAAAATGGAAACCACGGCCAAAGGACTGTGCACCCACTCATCAAGATGGGGAGTCTATTCCCACTGTGGACCTGGCTAGCCTAGGGATCTGCTTTCCCAACAGTAAGAGGCAGCAGGGCCTTGGCTTCAAGAGGCCTTGTAGCTTCTGCACCTGCTCTCACACAGCACTGCCCCTAGATCGCCATGCTGAGAGGCCAGGTTGTGCTCCTGCGTGACACATGTGGAGACCAAGATATCTCAGCTAACAGCACAAATGGTCAGACGTGAGTGAAGCCACATAGGGGTCATGAGGAGTTTCTAGTTGTCATGGGACTGTGATCGCACAAGGGAGTCCAGCGCAGATCAGCAGAAACCTAGTCAATCCACAGAAGTGTGCAGGGGGGCAGGTTGCTGCCGTCAGCCTCTCGTTTGGGGTGACCAGTCATGCAGTAGGAAGACTGGGGACTCCAGTACATGCAAGTTGGATCTTTGTGGCTTATGTTCTGTACTTGTCAATTTGTCACCATGCTTTTTTGTCTCTTCATGTTGGATTCTTTTCTTTTCTGTCATTTATTTCCAAACACTGCACTTTCATGTGTCTGTTCACCTTTGAGGTTGTTCTAGCTTAGTCTTTATTTCTGATTGTTTTCCTTTATCCATCCCTGAGCTCCTCAGGCAATCATTTCATACCGCCTTTTGTCCAATCATCACATTTCCTGGCTCCTGTGTTTCTGATTACTGGTGTTCCTTCCTAGCTTCTGCCTGATGTCACTTTGAATATCAGGGTACTTTCCTCATCTGCTCTGTGGTCCCTGTTCCTGATGCACTTCATTGCTGCCATGCTATTCAGACCACTCTCCCCTGATCAAGTGTCTTTATGTGGTCTTTAATCACCCCCCTGTTTTTTGGGGAGGGAGGATGCTGGGGATTGAACCCATGGCTTTGTGTATGCAAGGCCAGTGCTCTGCCACTTTCTGTTGCTCACTTTTAAGAACAGGTTCTTGTGTTTGGGATGGAGATGAATCACCCCCAGACCTGTCTTCTACTGTTACCACAGGCATTTGAAACTACAGGCTGTGTTACCACTTCTACAGTACTTATTGGCCTCTGCCTCCTCTCCCCCAGTATCTGAATGCTTTCCTTCATCCTCAGTGCTCCTCTCCAGTTCAATGTAGATGCTTCTTCCAACTTTTGTCCTTATTGAGGGGCTCTGCAGTTTCAGAAGGAAGTTCTGTTATGTATCTCTGAGAGTCTTGTGGCCTTCCAGAGCCCCAGGGCCACCCTCATGTCTTTTTGCAAACATTCTCAAACTAGACCCAGTAAAAATTTCCCCCAGTTTCTCACTATGGGAGTCTACTTTGGTGCTACTTTTTGGGTCCTTTGGTCACAGCACTGTTGTAATTTCCTTCTCTACCTTCCACTACCTCCTGCTGGGCTGCTGACCCCACGTAGGTGTTATGGCATCTTAGTGTGGCTCCACCCATTTCTACCTGGGGACTCAAGGAGACACCAGATACCCTGCTTTGTTGAAGAGTGTATTGGTTTCCCAGGGCTGCTGTAAGAAATGACCACAGACTGGGAGGCTTAAAACAAAAGGAATTTTCTCCCACAGCTCCAGGGGCTAGATGTCCCAAGTACAGGTGTTAGCAGGGCATGCTGTCTCTGAGGGCCTCAAGGGAGGTCCCTCTGCACCTTGCCCAACTGCTGGTGCTTGCTGTGCTCCTCGGCGTCTTGGCTGTGGCTGTCACTGATCTCCTTCTGTTACCAGTGCCCTCTGGTGTCTCCTCATTGTCTTCCCTCTGAGCACAGTTGTGTGTGCATTTCCCTTATTCCAGCTCACTGTAATCCACTACGAGCATGTCTCACCTGATTATATCTGCAGAGAACCTATTTTCAGGTAGATCACATTCATAGGTACCAGGGTTTAAGACTTGAACTTATCTTTTGCCCAGGGATGGACTTGGATCTCAATCTTTCTATTTCTGCCTCCACCATGCCCAGCTTTTTTTTTTATTGTTTATTCATTTATTCATATGTGTATACATTGTTTGCCCCCCCCCCGCCCCCAGTTTATCTTTTTGAGAGTCTTGTTTAATTTTTGCCCAAGCTGGCCTTGAACCATGATCTTCCTGATCCCTGCCTCCCAAGTACCTAGGATTACAGGTGTGAGCCACCATGCCCAGCTTCTTTTGTCCTTTCTTTTGTTCTTTGTGCCATCATGGCTGTTGTATCTGGTTTTGTGAGGGGACGTGGAAGAAAATGGAAAAACCTATGTTGCTGCCACTACCCTGCCTAACCTAGGACTTTGTGGTTGTGTCACAAGCACCCATTTCAACAGAACACTCCTTGCAATATTAAAAGACCAAACCCAACCCTGCCCTAACCTAGGGCTGAGTGGTTGTGTCACAAGCACCCATTTCAACAGAATACTCCTTGCAATGTTAAAAGACCAAACCCAAGAGAAAAGGTGGCTCTATAGAGGAGAGGTCCTTACCTCTGAGAGGTAGGAGACCTTTGGTGGAGCTCCTTTAAGGTCCAAATGAACTAATCTCATCTTAAATGGTGCAGACTCTGACATCTTAGTGTTTTTGTAAACTCCTGTAACGGAATCTCTGGGACTTCTTCCTGGTGGAGAAAAACAGAGTCATAAACACAAGCAGCAGCTTCTCCTTCTGCCCTCCCCTGATACTTTGGACCAATTCTACTTTATTAACTTAGAGGAAGCTCATTTTACTAACATGAAAATGAATCAAAAAGCCCATCTCCATATTCAAATATAGAGACTTTGGTTATTTGTGACTTGTCCCTAAAATGGAATAGCATTATTTCCTTATGTGAGACAGTTGTGATCTAAAGCAACATGAACAATTGCAAAATAATTTCGTTCTAATCTCTCTCTCTGTCTCAGTGCTGGGTGGAGGACCTCATGCTAGACAGCCAAAGGCTCTCTTAAACTAGACACACTAGAAAACAGTCAGACGTCTCTAAACATTTTTTATCAGGCCCCAGGATACCATGTTTCTGGGGATAACATTAAAATTAATTCATTTCTGGAACTCAGGTCAGCTTGATTGTAGGGAGGATGGAGCTGAAAAATCTACTCCAGGTTAGCGAAAACTGTCTAGGATTTAAAACAAGGCAATGATGCTTTGGCAGACTGGGGTCTGCAAGTGATCCAGCGCTTGCTTAGCATGTGAAGGCCCCGGGTTCTATCCCCGGCACACCAAAAGTAAAATAAGGGCACAATTTAAAGGGGAAGCTTTTATAAAAACTCATCTTTCCCTGCCTGTGGGAAATGCACAGGAGGGCAGAGGAAGTCATGCACCCGTTCCTGATGCACCTGCCCGTCTGCAGGTCCCAAAGGTCCCCAAGCCGGGCTCTAGGGGCCACGCCCCGCGGGCGGTGGACAGACGCCCCGATGGGTCACTGGGCCGCAAGGACCTGCCACGGCCCTCAGGGCGGCCACCCGGCGGGGCTGATGGCCTCGGCGAAGCGCTGAGAGGTGGGGACAACAGGCCGGGGACGGGTCGCTCCGGCCCGGCACGGCCAGACACGGGGCCGGTACCTGACTCACCGGAGGCCGTCTCAGGTGCACCCAGGTGCGCGACGCGTGGGGAGGAGCAGGCCGGGCCCCGCCTCGCCGCGCCGCGCCGCTCGGCCGCCGATTGCTCGCGCCTGGCCGCAGCCGGGCGGACGGCAGACTGCGTCGCTCCCGCGTCCCCGCGCCGCGCCCGCCGGGCGCTCCCAGTCGCGGCTCTCGCCCCGGGCTCGGCTGCTCGCGCGGGCGTCCAGCCCGGCTCCGCGGCCGCCGGCCCGATGGCACCTCAGAGGAGGGGCGCGCCCAAGGCTGAGGGCAGCGGTGCGGCCGAGCGCGGGCGCCCGAGCAGGTAGTGGGGAGGCCGCGCGTGGCGCGGGCGGGACCTGACGGGAGGACTGGGGGCGTGGCCCGACCTGGGCTGGGCTTGACTCGGAGGTGCGGGGCGGAGCCAAGCCGGGGGCGGAGCCCGACCGAAGGATGGGGGCGTGGCCTGACAAGAGCGCGGGGGTGGGGGGGAGGAGGGGTTTTAATGGGTGGTGTGGGACGGAGGCACGTTAGGGCGGGGCCCGATAGGGGCGTGTTCTGAGGTCATGTGGGATGTGACAGGCCATTCCGGGTGGGGCCATGGCGAGGAGGGGCGTGGCCAGGAGGGTCACTGAAAGCTGCGGCAGCGTGGTCCGGGGTCTACGTGGGGCGTGGCTGTGGTGTGACCTCCTGTATCCGGTAGGGCGGGGTGGTCGCAGTCCACGTGGCTGACTTCTCTATGCTCAGAGCGCGGGAAAGCCCTTGTTGGGTCAGTCTGTGCAGTAGCCTATGAGTCCTGTGGTCCCCACCACTGTACCTGCAGTCCAGACCTCTCCGCAACTGTGCGGGTTACCTAACCCTAGCCTTTCATGCCTCATACATCCAAAGCTGCCCTCAACCTTGCCCCAGACTCCTGCCTCCGGAATGGAGCCCACAGGGACAGGCACCAAGCCCTAAGAGTGTGTCTTCAAAGTCACCTCAAAACTGCTCCCCTCACCACTTCTTTAGTTCAGGCCTTGCCTATCGTTTTTTCACCTGGAATTGGGCCCCTGGGCCCCAGCAGCCTCCTTGCTCCATCAAGTACCTGCATACCGGGCAGAAGGAGATGTGGTCAGCATGGGCATTTAAAATGCAAACTGGGGCTACTTCCTTTGAGAATCAACTTAGGTTGGGTCTTTCTGTCAAAGCATTTAATCAGTAACCACCGCTGTTACAAATGTTAGTCCCACTAACTCGCTGGCCATGCTGGCTTCATGGACTCTGCTTAACCTGATAAAAGTTTCTATTAAGAACAAAGGATTGTTACCCTCAGCTGGACAAAATTCCACTAGATGCCCTGGTTCTGGAGCTGATAACCTAAAACAGTTATTGTTTCCCTGAGCTTTTAAACGTCTTTGTCTTCAATGCCCTCTCCTGATGTCCTCTTTCCAATTAGCCAACCATGGAGACTGTGAACCCCAAACCTGCCCAATTCAGGGAACGGGTAGCATTGCGTTAGAGATAAAACACCAGCAGATTCCCCGCTGGGTGTGCTTGCTCTTTTTCTGTGGTGCACCCTTCTGCAGAAGTAAATTTTGCCTTGCCTGTTGACTTCTGAGTTGCGTCGTCTCTCTCTCCTGACATCCTAATATCTTAAAGATATTTCTCACACTCCCTACATAGGAGCAACCGGAAGATATTGATGGAAGGACAGAGCAGAGGGTGGACAGGGGAGAAGTGTAGGGAGACAGTGTCCAGATTGCAGATGCCACCCAGATGGGCACAGAATGGAAGGAGGAGCTCTTGCACCCACCTCTGAGCTGCTGCTGCTCTGTGCGACCGGGTGTGTGTTGGCTGTATCTAGGCAGATGCTGGCGGTAAAATAACCTGAAACGCCTGTGTGTGAGCAGGGAGCATTGCAGACGTTCACTGTTAAAGCACAAAACCTGCCCTCCCATGGAGTTATGGAGTTGTAGAAGGATGGCTTGATTTCGGAATCTTTAAATGTTGTAGTTTATAGCTGCTTTGTGTTAGTGAAAAATCTTATAGCCTGCAAGAAGCCAGTTTCCTTGCTTATGTTTTGCTCCTCTGGTGACTGCCTCATTCCATTCTCTTGACATTTTGAAAACATTAGAAAATATCGGGAAGAATACTGAGGCTGAGAGAGGCTTTAATAACTCAGGGCCTTGTGCTTGCTGGGCAGCTGCTCTACATCTTGAGTCACCCATTCAGCCCTTTTTGTTCTGGTTATTTTAGAGGTGGAGGTCTTACTTTTTGCCCAGGCCAGCCTGGGCCACGATCCTCCTATTTTACAGTTCTTGCTGTTGATGGGATGACAGGCGGGCACCACCCATCCAACTTTTTATTTTTTCCCCTTTAAGGTGTGGTGTTGCAATTTCTTTTTCCCCCCAGGACTGGGCTGGGCTGGAACCTCAATCCTCCTGATCTCAGCCTCCCAAGTAGCTAAGACTACAGATGTGAGCACCTGTGCCTGGCTCTAATTGTATTCTTAATGGTCAAGATCCTGATGCCTTCTCTCCTGTCCTTCCTATCCCTCAGGTCTATAGCCCATGAAGTATTTCCTGAACAGCAGAACACATGTATGCCCCAGTTACACACACACACATGCATATCCTTACACATGTAGAAGCACGCAATTTTAGCATGGGCTATTTGAACCACGCACTTAGCTCTGGATTGTAGAAAAGGCGTCTTATTTGCATAGTAATTTCTGGGGTGCCTCTGCACTCTTCCTCTGTCTTGTGTTTTTGTTTTAAGTGGGTTTGACTCACATAAGCTGGTTTAAGTCCATGTTTGGGGTTGGGTCAGTCATTTAAGGACACAGGCAGTATGATTAGGGGCTCACATTCCATGGGAATCCTTCACACAGGGCTGGGAGGTGGCGCCTCTGAGGGTCAGCCCATCTTCTTGCCCATTACTGGGCACAGTCAGCCCTGCCTGGTCAGTCAGAACAGCTGCTCATCTGGGGGTGGGGTGTGGTGGGCATCTTGACAAGCCTAGAGGCAGAAGTAGACCCTCCCTTTTCCTACCATCTGATGGGGCCCGTCTTGACCAGAGGTCACTGTAGGCCCTGGTTGGTTGCAGCCGGTCTACATGTGTTCTTTGGTCTTGTACTTCATTCTCAGCATTCACAACTGCATCCTGATGATAGTGGTTGTGTTTTCTGTTCTCAGCACCAAGAAGGACCAGGTCCCAAGGGAAGCGCAGAGGCCATGGCTGAAGACTGTAGGTCTGGGAGCTGGCCTCGTGCTGGTTGCACTCCTGCTGTGGAACAGTCTGGGGACTGATGATGGTATCGCCGAGGTCCTGGCCCTCCGTGGCGAGGTACTGGCAGGAAGGTTCATTGAGGTGCCCTGCTCTGAGGACTACGATGGCCACCGAAGGTTTGAAGGTACAGTGCCATGGATTCTTCAGTGATTCAAGAAAGACCAGTGGGTTGAAATGAAATGTAACAATGCGTTTTGCTGCAAGTGGGAGACAGGTTGAAAGCAGTGTGCAGTCTTCTCCCCAACCCAGACAAGCTAATCCACACCTGGCTGTGAAAGGCAGAGGTTTCTGGGTCATCCCCAGTCCCCTTTGGCATGGTCAGCATTTTATGAGGCGGCAGAGTCCAGTGGTGACTTGCCAGGAAGTAACAGCACTAGAGAGCGAGGATGAGAAAGTTGAAGCTGGAGGAGGTGTTGATGATAGAGGATGTCACAGAGAATGGCAACCTGCCAGGTGCTTTGGCTCATGTCTATCATCCCAGCTACATGAAAGGAAGATCACAGTCTGAGGCCAGTCCTAGCAAAAACATGAGACCCTATCTGAAAAATAACTAAAGCAAAAAAGGGTCAGGAGCATGGCTTAACTCGTAAATGACCATCACCACAAATGTGTCCCGGCTCCCAGCTTCCAGCTCTGGCTCTGTAGCCACAGTGAAAGCACTGGTGAGTCCCAGTGGCTGGTCAGAGATCAGGGCCCTGTGGTCTGGGCCCAGGGAAGCCAAGATGAAAGAGCCCCATTGTGAGAGCCACCAGACATGGTGCAAGCCAGCAGTGCCAGGAAAGCGTACACACCAGCAGAATGACCACTGGCCCTCAGAGCACATTCTGGGCCACCCAGATGCATTCTCAGTATTTATTTTTTTTTTCTTGGCAGCACTGGAGTTTGAACTCAGGGCCTCACTTCTCTACCACTTGAGTCACTCTATCAGCCTGTGTTCTCAGATTTTAAAACCTACCATGAGGACTGGGTTTTTAGGATAGAATTACTTTATCTATTTAATGGTACTTGGGGAATCAAACCCAGGGCCTCATACTTGGTATATAAGTGCTCTACCACTTATGCTATGCCCCAGTCTTTTTTTTTCTTTTTTTTTTTTTTTGGAGGTACTGGGTTTGAACTCAGGGCTTCTTGCTTACTAGGCAGGTGCCCTACTGCATTAGCCACTCTGCCAACCCTTTTTTGTGTTGGGTTTTTTTGAGATAGGGTCTTTCCTTTTGCCTAGGCCTGTCTTGAACCTTCATCCTCCTGATCGCTGCTTTCCAAGAAGCTAGGATTATAGGAGTGAGCCATTGTCACCCAGCCTTTTTTATTTTATTTTTTAAAATTTTGTCTTTGAGGAGCTTTTGCTCCCATTTCCTGTGTGGGGAACAGGAAATGTCTCTCTTTCTCTCCCCCAGACCCTATTGCTCTCACTCTAGAGATACCCACTTTCAGTCGGTTGACAGTGTAGCTTTCCTAATAAACTTTACTGTTACTTTCACTAAAAAAAAAAAAAAATTTGTCTTTGAGACAGCTACCTTTTTGCTCAGACCAACCTCAAACCACGATCCACCTACCTCTGCTAGGAGTCGCTAGGACCACAGATGTGCTCCACCACATCCAGTGAGAATTATTTTTTATTCAAAGCAAAATGCTTTGAACTTGAACCAAGAACAGATTGGCAGGTTCTTCCACAAAAGGGATGCTACTGCAACACACATGACCTCAGGGCTCTCCGTAGCAGTCTGACCGCTTTGTGGGCAGGGTTACTGCCACAATGGTGTCAGGGAAACACATGTTCCCTGTGTGGATGCTCTGTCTTGGGACTCTCCCCCTCCAACAGCCTACTCTCTGTATAAGTACACATAAGTATGTGCATATGTATGCATATATATGTACATATATACATTTAATGGATGTTAAATTTTTTCTTTTCATTATGAGACAGGGTCTTGCTGTGTTGTCCAGGCTAGCCTTAAACTCCTAGGTTTAAATGGTCTTCCTGCCTTAGCCTCCCCTCAAAATAGTTTTTTTTTTTGTTTGGTTGGTTGGGTTTGGTTTTTTTTTTTTTTTGTGGTACTGGGGCTTGAACTCAGGGCCTACAATTTGAGCCATTCAACCAGTCCTTTTTTGTGATGGGTTTTTTCGAGAGTGGGTCTCTTGAACAGTTGGCCTGGACTGGCTTTGAACCTTGATCTTCCTGACCTCTACCTCCTCAGTAGCTAGGATTATGGGCATGAGCCACTGGCTCCTGGCTGATTTTTTTGTTGTTTTTTTTTTCTTTTTTTTTGTGGGACTGGGGTTTCAACTCAAAGCTTCACATTTGCAGACCAGGTGTTCTATTGCTTGAGCCACACCTCTAGTCCATTTTGCTCTGGTTATTTTAGAGATGGGGTCTCACAAACTATTTGTCCAGTCTGGCCTTGAACCTCAATCCTTCCAATCGCAGCCACCCAAGTAGCTAGGATTACAAGCGTAAGCCATAGGCACCTGACCATGGGATGCTAAATTTTATGTTGCACATGTTTTATGCTAAAGAAGTTGGAATGTATTTGAAGTCTCCAGCCTTCCTGCTTCCACCTCCCTCGTTCTCCAGGTGAGAGATATGAGGCAGGGCTCATGTCTGCTCTTCGTGGTGGCTTGTTATAAGAGCGGCCTAGGCCCAGGATGGAGGCAGGGAGATCCCTGCTCAACTTTAGGCAGTGTGTGTTTATAGAGGGCACACAAGTCCCCAGGAGTCATCTGCTCACAACTTTTTAGCCAAATTATTCTCCTGACGCCTGTTCAGGTGAAGCTGTCACTGCAGGGTGGCCTTGCAGCACAGGCTCTTTTGTGCCCATCTGTCTCTTGCCTTTGAAGGGACACTGTCCTCCATGTGGATCCCGTGTTCTTGCTTTCCTGTGTTTCTGCTAATTTTGACTAGACACCACAGGTTAAGAATGTCACCTCCTGGGTGCCGGCTATTTTCATCTTCCTACAAATGCTGCAGAGCTTGGCTCTGGGCTGGTACTTGGGAACAGTTGGCTCCTTTCTGGTCTTGCCTTAAGCTTGTCATGGAGAACCAGAGAAGTATGTAGTCCGGGGCCGATTCTTCCCCCACCAAGGGAGATCCTCTGGGCACCACAACTCATTGGCCGTCTGGCTGGTGAGAATGGCCAGCTCTGCACTGTGAGCCACACCTGTTCCCTCTGGCCCTTTACTTATGTTTCTTGTGACCACTGGTCTCCCCACACCATGCTTCCTTTTGGTCTATGGGGTCACTGTGTCATGAAGACTCGAGGGAGGCCTTGTGGCCGCCTGCAGCTCCATCCCTCCTGGTTCCACCTTTCACTGATTGGTCCTTCATTGTTCTGCCCATGTCCCCTCCCTTCCTGGGTAGGCACTGGCTCTACTGGCTTCTTTCCAATCTTTCAGGGTCTTTGCCCTTCCTTGCCTGGTGTCCTGGTCTTGAGAACCATGATTTCATGTACTCTGACTGGTTTTTAGTAGTTGCAGGTAGAGGCTAAATCTGGTCTCTGTTACCCACCATGACCGTAGACTGACACCTTAAATCCCTAATATTTTGATATGTGACAGTTTTTGGGATCATTTTCTAATTTTTTAAAACTATTATTTGCAGTGCTAGAAGTTGAGCCCAGGGCCTTGCCAATACTAGGCAGGTGCTCTAACACCGAGCTACATCCCAGCCCTTATTTTTTTAATCCATGAATTATTTGGAAATACACTTTTTTTTTAATACAAGATCTATCTTGTAACTTAAGCTGGTCTTGAACTCTTTTTTTTTTTTTTTGGTAAGACTGATATTTGAACTCAGGGCTTTATGCTTGCAAAGCAGACACTCTACCTCTTGAGCCACTCCTTCAGTCCTCTTGAATTCTTGATCCTCCTGCCTCAGCCTCCCACATGCTGGAATTATAGGTGTGTACCACCATGCCTGAATGGAAGCATACTTTAAAATCAATTGATGGGGATTTTTGTTTTCCTCTTTAAAAAGTTGACTTTTAACCCAATGAATTGTTGTTAAAAGTAATATCATCTGTGTAATATAGATTCTTTGGTATTGGTTCAGGCCTTTTTTTTTTCTTTGCAGTGCTGGGGATAGAACCCAGGGCCTCAAGCACTCTAGGCAAGTGCTCTACCACTGAACCACAGCCAACCCAGTTTGACTTTTTTTCATGGCCTTACCTATGACCTGCTTTTGCCCATGTTACACATGTGTGTTTCCTCATGGTTATGTGAGAATTCTGTGACTCTCTGGCCTGAGCTCATTGAATCTGCTCCCTGTCCTCACCAGTGTCTGCCTTTTTCTCCCGTGGGTCACTGAGGGGTGTTAGACGCTCCCGTTTCCTCCTGGCTGGTCTTCCTGTGGCGGAGCCTTCCTCCTAGAGTACTGTTCCCAGCCTCTCCACCTGGCCCCTGGCTGTGGTGTTGCCCCTCTTAATGCACACCTGCTGCTGTGAGACGACCCCACACCCCTGCTTTGCGCATTGTATTTGCTTTTTGCTTTCAACTTTTCTGTGTCACTGTGTTTTATGGGGCAACACTTATTTAAAAAAAAAACATACAGTTGGCTTTTTGTTTTGAAATAAGACATCTATGTCAATATGTTACTTAGCCATGTGTAACTAACTGCCATACCCCACCCCTGCAATCTCCATGAGTCAGCCTGGCTTGCTGGGAGGACTTTCTGATAGGTGTTTGTGAGTACTCAGACCAGCCATCAGTGCTTGTTCAGGAATGTTGTCAAGTCAGGGATGGTGGCTCACACCTGTAATCTCAGCATTTGGGAGGAGTGTGAGTTCCAGGGCCTCAGAGTGAGACCCTCAAACAAACAAAAAAACTCCAACCATATAAAAAGAATGTTGTTGGTGCTGTCTTGGAGGCTTCTGTGGGTCCTCAGGGGTCTGGAACCACAGGTGTCTGGGGATGAACCCACCCACCATGGGGCAGCTGGAAACCCAGGGTGCCCAGCGAGCCATGGGCTCCTGAGGCTCTGCACAGGGTGCAATTCCACTGGAAAGCTATGGCTGCTTACCCGGAGCTCATGTTTGAGCAGGTGTGTTGACCAAACTGACCACCCTTGTCCTATGGAAGGGCCTGGCCAGCTCCATTTCACCAAATCCCATTGTCCTGGGACAGTGGCTTTGGAAGTCAGTTTTTGTCCCTGACTGTCACCCTCCAGGATGCACCCCCAGGAAGTGTGGCAGGGGCATCACCGACATCGTCATCACCAGGGAGGAGGCAGACCGCATTCGCAGGTACCTCATGTCTCTGCCTGGGTGCAGGGTGGGTGTCTGTGGGTCAGGTTCAAGCCAGTAAGTGGGAAAGTGGGGCTGGGTAGGAGGCAGAACTCCCTATAAGTCTATGGACTTTCCTCATGGGCTTTAAGGCCCTCAGTCATGCCCTGGATGTCAGAACATTCCAGCAGCTTGGCCTCTTCTCCAGGAACTCACCCTACAGCCATCATGAGAGCCCCATATGCTGGCCTGCTGCCTGTCATGGAGATGTGTGCCCCAGCCTTGGGTGGAAGGTCACTAGATAATATTCCAGTTTCTGCTCCAAAACTGCTGGGTTCCAGCCATTGGCCAACCTCACTTACTGTGGCTTACAAAAGCCTTCTGGGAAGCAGTTGGTGCTGGAATTTTCCTTATTGAGATTTTAAAAACAAGATCTTATAAGAAAGGTTTGACTTTCTTACTAAGTGTTTAGACTCAATGGGATACCATTCAGCCCTTGAGGCCCATCCTCCTCTGTCCATATGCTGAGTCCTTTTGAAAGGCCCAACTGGGAGCCTGTGCCTTGTACATTGTCCTCTGACACAGGGCTTGTCCTGCCATACATGGGGCTTCCTGGTGTTTTACAGAGGGGTCAGTGTCCCTGCAGGGCCTTGAGAAGTCCATCACAGCTACTGGTTCTTGAGTGGAGTGGTCCTTTCTGGTCTGGTATGACCAGCTCCCTGGTGTCTTCCTCCCTACCCTGATGGGGCCTCATCACCTCCTGAGCTGTGATTATCAAAGCCCCCACCAAGCTGGAGACTACTCTGGTCTCATCTGGACTTGGTTCAGTGTTAAGGTCAGGAATTAAGTCCAGTTGTCCCTAAGCCAGGCCATGTGTTACTAGCAAGATGGAGACCATGATATATCCTCACTTAGCCTTGGAAGTTGAGGTCTTGGCACACATCTGTTTACATCCTAAGTGTTAAACAAGCAGAACCTGTTAACACAGCACTAATTGTGCTGATTGATGTTTTGCCTAGATACCTTATTGGTAATTCTGTTGACTAAATTCTGATTTAAACTTATTCTCTGCCCTCCCTCCTCACCCCCACACAGCATAGCGGAGAAGGGGCTTTCCCTGGGAGGATCCGATGGAGGGGTGAGTTGAATGTGGCTCCTGCCCCAGTTTTCTCTGTACATTTTAACTTTGCTGTCCTCAGGGGGAAGGAAAAGGTACTGGATATGTAGGGTCCCCTTGGTGCCCTCACTGAAGATGTGGGTTAGCCATGACCTCCTCAATGTTTCTGGCCAGACTGTGGCCACTGCTTCTGCCAAGGACCCAGTGGGTGTGAGGTGTGTCTCTCTTGGGAAGAGTGTGTCCTCGGCTATGCCTGGCCATCTCTTCAGAGTGTGTCACACCCTTGGCTTCAGGGCACTCTGGCATTTTAGACACTTTGGGTATAGGGGGAATGAAGAAGGTTTGAAGGCAGGCAGCTGAGGAGGGAGTCAGGAGCTTGGCAGTCAGCAGAGCTACCGGGAAAGGAAGAGCCCCTCTGAACAGAAGATGTGTGACAGACTTGGTCACTTCACACCAGAGGCTCCACAGACACCTGCAGTGTGGGCTGACCACTGTGTGAGATTGCAGGGGATTGTATGGCCTGTCTACCTGGACTCCGTGCATGTGACCTGATTTGGAAAAGGGTCTAGAGATGAGGTCATTATGGATTTGGGGTGGCCCTAAATACAAGAATGGTGTCCTTATAAAAGGCAGCAGAGGGAGATTTGGAAGGAAGAGAAAAAGCCCATGTGAAAGTAGAGGCAGAGACTGATAGGACCATAAATCAAGGAACACCTCGGTCTCCTAGAAGATAGAAGAGGCAGGACAGACCCTCCTCAGAGCTTCTGGGGTGAACATGGCCATGAAACACCTTGATTTTGGACCTCTGGACTTCAAAAGCATGAGAGAGTAAGGTTTTGCTGGGCCAGCAGCACCTTGGGTGCCAGCTGTCAAGGGGCAGCCATTGAGATTGCCGGGACCTGATATATGGTTTTCTTCAGACTTTCTTGCTCTGTGTGTGGGGTTGTTTGGGGGCCAGTTCCTCACCCTGTCTATGTTGGTGATCATTTTGAGTTATAGTCACCACATGGACCTGAGTCAGCTGGTGTATCTGAAAGTTCAGGAAGATTGATTTTCAGACTTTATTTCTGAAGTTATCTGCATGACTTCATCTACCAGCTCTTTTGAGTTTTGAAAATGAAATTCCTCCTTTTATTTCAGTCCAGCTGTTTGAGGTGGGGGGATACCTTACTAAAACTGTTTAGTCTCTCTTCGTCTTCCTTCAGGGAGATGTCAGTGTTTGATGCCTTTAAATTCAGCTAATGTTTATTAAGCCCAGGTTGGCTCACACCCCTGGGCTAAGTCACTGCAGCAATGAGGAGAGGGAACCAGTGTCCACTCCTCCTGGGTCATAGGTCAGGTAAAAATGGTCCTGCTGTTGGCCACTCCCTTCCCAGAACTCAGGGAAGGACTTGGAGGTGGGTGGTCAGGGGCAGAAAACATTTATGACCCTGTGGTTCCATGTGAGGAATTTACCCAAGAGCCCTGAGAACACGGGTTCACACACACTGGAACTAGTGTGCACAGAGCTCCACTAGCAATAGCTCCAGCCAGAAACCATCCTCAGCTGTCACAGAGCGAGCAGATGGTGACAAGTTTTGGGGCATCTGTGCAGCAGAAGCCCCTTAGCCATAGGTGGGAAGGAATAATTACTGGAGTGGTAGCACGAGTTATGCTGAGCAGAAGAAGCCAACTGAAAGGCCCAGCTGCAGTTTGCACCCCAAACAAGAAACACAACAATCTGGACAAAATGGACCTGTGGGTGCCTGGGAGGGTGGCAGTGGCGAGAGGTGGAGGGAGGAGAGAGGTTGCAGGGGTGTGAGGAGTTGGGGTGACAGCACCTTTATTATTTCTATTGTGAAGTGGTTTCAGGGGTGTGCACCTACGTCAAAGCTTGTCACACTGCATACTTCACACACAGACACTTCTGAGTATGTTAGCTTTACCTTGAGGGAGCCAAGGGAAGGAGGAATGGAGGGAGGTGTCCCTGGGCTCTGTCCAGAACATTAGACTAAAGGTTTGGCATTTTTCTTCAGGCAGGAGAGAGCAGATGTGCCTGCTCAGGTGGATGGGTGCACAGGTAGGAACCCAGGCATTTGTAGGGTGATCTGGTAAAATTGGGGGTCTAACTTAGGCAGCATTTAATGTTGCCATCACCCACTATCTGACCCCTCAAACATCTTTTTCAGGCATCCATCCTGGACTTGCACTCAGGGGCCCTGTCTGTTGGGAAGCACTTTGTGAACCTGTACAGGTGAGAGGCCGAGAGGGGACAGCGACCCCAGACACTACCATAAGACTCTGGTCATCTCAGGGGTCTGCTGAGCACCTTCTCTGGGCTCCTTGTCAGGCAGGAACTGGGTTGTGGGCTTCTCTCTGGGGCCTGTTGTAGGACAGAGTCTTTGTTTACACAGCTTTAGGGTTGATTCTGGTGTCACATTCTAGAAATGGGTCCTGTCTAGGCTGAAGGACATGGCTGGAGGAACAGGTGGAGAGACGGGAGGCAGGGGAGGTCCCAAGAACTGTGGGCCCAAAGAATCTGATGCTCTGTGGGGCCTGAGACCCAAAAGATTCTCCCAGGCTGGTCTCTGTCATCCTCGGCCTGTGAACTCCTTCGCTCCTTGCTTGCATGTCCTCCTTTTCCTCTAATATCATGATCATTGTAGAAACAGATTCACTCTGAGATGCTGGTGAGCTTAAGGAAAGACAGACTTAAAGAAAACTGATGAGTAAAACATTACATTGCTGATGTTCCTTGTTTTTTTGTTTTTTTGTTTTCTTTTTGGCAGATACTTTGGGGATAAAATACAAAATATCTTCTCCGAAGAAGACTTCCAGTTATACCGGTAAGGATGAGAAGGAGTGAGCGGAGATGGCTGGGGCCAAATATGGAGGAGGGGGCTGAGGTTGGCTCTCTGTGATGTCCCATTACACCAGCCCAGGTGACAGCTCCTGTGTGAGGGAATGAGACCCTAGGATGGGGGTGGAAGCCAGCCAGGCTTTGGGGAGGACCAGCAACTCCTTTGACAGCCTCCTGAGCAGCCCTTACTTTCTGTAGGGGATGCACTCAGCTAAAAGTCACACCACACTCTCACACTAGGTGAGCCTAGCACTTGTCTCACACCCCAGGTACCTGTGTGTCAGGCACAGTCCCCACCCAGAGGCAGCTCATCTACCTAGGGAACTTTTGAAATTAAACCCTTTATTTAGAGGTTATCATGACTCATATTGCCTTTATAGGAAATACCACAGGGAGATTCCGTATGCCTCTGCTTGCTTGACCAAGCCAGTGATGAGTTGTATAACTGGGGTATGACATCACTCACTCCTCAAAATAGACCTTGGTGTAACCCTGCAACTTTGTTCAGAGTTCCGATTTACTCTTGCACCCTTTTGTGAGTATGTTGGTTGAGTTCTACATCATTTTATCACCATGAGGGTCAGGTTCAAGATGTTGAACGTGCAATTACCACTCACCCCTTTTATAGCTCCGCCCACACCATCCCTGTCAGCCTGGAAATACAGCTGACATTTCACCTTTATCGTGTTTCCAGGGAAACAGCGGCTAAGCAAAGCCCAGGCCACTGCTTCAGAGAGCAGGTGCAGAGCTTGGCTCTTTCTGCACAGGCAGTGATGGCTGTGGTGGTGACTGGGGTGGTGTGTCTAGTAGACACTCTTGGTTTAAGCCCACCCCTACAGGTGTCATGGTAGCCCGTGGGACCGTGGTTCCTGCTCCTGTGCAGGGGTTGGGGAGGTGTCCTACCTGGCACTTGGCTTAGGGCCCAGTCCACAGTTGTTCCCAGGTGACCATCTGTGCTGCTAGCCCTCACTTGTTGTGTTTGTAGGTGGTATGTCTATACTTGCTTAAGTAGAAAGTGTTCAAGTCATAGTTTGGCATTTTGATAGTTTGTAGAATTTGTGAGAATGGAAGGAAACAAAGGTGAACTTTATGTTCCCTGAGTATCATGGATATGGGCCTTCTGAATGTGCAGAGACAGAGTAGAGCTGTCAGTAACAGCCACCATGCAACTAGACATCTCCTGACGACACATGGGACCCTGGACAATGGTGACCAGGAATAGCACATATGGGTCAGAAACCTTGTGTTTCCAGGTGAAAAGCAGGGTGGCAGGGTGGTGTTGCACCAGTCAGTGTGAATGTTGTTCCAGCCTCAGGAAATGTTCCTTGTAGACTGTGTGCAGAGAGGGTCACAGGTGCAAAACGCTGAACTTTGATTTCACCAGGATGTCTACTACATTCGGTTAGGATTCAGGGGGGATTTCTGGTTATCAAAGAAGCAAAATGGGAAGAAGATTATTACCAATCAGTTTTACACAAGAAAACACTTGAAATACCTAAAACTTACAAAACCATCATTGTTTGTAAAGCAAAAGAAAACTTAAAGAGAGTTCCACCATTTTTATCTATTTATCTATCTATCTATCTATCTATCTATCTATTTTTGGTGGTACTAAGGTTTGAACCCAGGGACTTGTGCTTGTTAGGCAGGTGCTCTATTACTTGAACCATGCCCCAGCCTCACCAGCTAATTTTAACACTTTGTATGCTATAGTTAAAAAGAATTAGGCTAGGTGTTGTGGGGCACACGTGTAATTCCAGCACTTGAGGGGCTGAGGCAAGAGGATCAAGAGGTAGAGCCTGTCTCAAAAAATGAGAAAACAACAACAATAAAAATTAGAGCTGGGGATATGGCTTGTAGAGCACTTGCCTACCATTTGCAAGGTCCTGGGTTCCATTTGTGGCACTGCAAAAAAAAAAAAAAGCATATTTAGACATGAAAATATGTTACCAATATGGAATGTCACACAATCTCACTTATGTTCTCAATGGCCCCAAAACATATTTGCCAGAACAAGAAAGTGATGTTTGGGGCAATTTAACTCATCCGAAGGGCACTACCTGCCCCACAAGAAAGGACTTGGTGACTCACACAGAATTCAAACTCCACAGCTTCGTTGATCTCTTGGAGCTGGAAGGAAGCACATCAGATAGAGCACGTCAGTGTGAAGTGGTATCCACCCCCTCAGGTGACTGCTGGGTGGTGCTGGAGCACAGTTCCTGTCTGCACTCTGGCCCTTCTCCAGAGAGTCAGACTCAACTCTAGGTCACATGTGCACCTGTTTCTGGATGGTGCAGGAGTAGGTTTAATGCAACAGGTCAAATCCAGTTGCCATTCACCAGGTGGACATCAGAGAGAATGTGTAGTCCCTGCTAGGGATGGCCCGAGGGCCATCAAGCCTCCAGCAGCCATCATAGTGGACACTGAGAGAGGAGCTCCAAAGCAGAAAAGTTGGCTAAGGTTGGCGTTAGTTTGACAGTTGGGACAATTGCACCTGCAGGGGTCAGGAAGGGGGCAACAAAAGAAGAGCTTCCACCTATTGCAAGGATGAAATCGTCTGTGTTTGCAGCAAGACCAAGTGTGAGGTGCAAAGTTTTAGAATTTGAAGTGAACAAAAGTCAGAAAATTAAGCCAATGGAATGCACGGCATTCCCGTAAGTCAAAGGGTGGACACATGGCTTTGGGGCTTAGTTTATTGTGCTTTGTATGTATACATGTGGGTGTGCACGTAGGTAGGTGTGTAGGTTAGTACATATATGAACGTGTATGAGTGTGTATACATGTGTGTCACACTTAGGAATTTATGTGGTATGTGTGAATGTACATGTGGAAAGGTACATATGTCTGTAGGTATGTATAGGTGGGTTGTATGTGTATACACTGAGGTATGTATGAAGGTGTGCGTGTGTGTGAGTGTGTGTGTACCTTTATGGATAGGTAGGTCTGTATGCACATGTGTATGCAGGTAGGTTTGTGTGGACACTTGGGAGACATGGGTTAGCCTGTCCAGCCCCGCTCCCTGCATGCTGGCCTCCTACAATTGACTCCTTGGAGCTCGGTGGAATCCAGCTCTGCTGAATTGCTCAAAGCATTGATGCTAGTCAGCTGCATCCAGAGAGGGGCTGGTGGTCCCCCTTTTTCCCTTGGATGCTGATAGGTCACACCGTGCCCCAGACAACCAGAGTCACACAGCTACACATGCACGGCTTGGAGCCCAGGCCCTGGTCTTCAGGGGAGGGGATGCTCTCCCTGCCCCCATGAGCACTGCCATTCATCTGACTGTCAGACTCCTGGGCCCTGCCCTGCTCACACACAGGGAGGCCTCCCCAGGCCTCTTGCACTGCTCTGGAAAAGGCAGGCCATGGGTACTGTGGTCATTCCCACAAGAACTGGTTATCAGGGCCCCTGATGTTCTTGTGATGCTGTGTCCTGTGTTTGGGGATGCTGTCTATCTCTCTGTCCTCCTATGGTGTGTGCAGGCCCCAGGGACCCACAGAGAATTCCCTCATCTCCCTTGAGGCCAAGCCACTCCTGAATGACACATTATATCCTCTGCAGGGATGTGCGGCGGAAGGTCCAGCTCACCATCGCCAATGCTTTTGGCATCAGTGCATCCTCGCTGTATCTGACCAAGCCAACGTTCTTCTCCCGCATAAACAGCACGGAAGCCCGGACGGCGCACGATGAGTACTGGCACGCACATGTGGACAAGGTGAGTGCTGGGCTCCGCACACAGGGTCTCCTGGGGCTGGGGACACCATGAAGCCAAGCTAGTTCTTCCTCCCTCCCCAGTGGCCAGGACTGCTGACTCAGCTTGGCGGGACCTCAGGCATCTGCTCTTCAGGGTTGGCTTGCGGCGTTTTAGACATCTGTCTTCCTGAGGTCTTAGGGTGTGCCCTACATCTAGTTGATACAGTTGAGGAAATAAAGTCATCTGTTTGACCCAGCTCATGTTTGGTTTTCTGTGAACTTGAAGTTTGGTACTGAAGCTACTGGAGACTCAGTGCCCAGGTGGTTTGCAGGATGTGTGTCACTTTGTTATTTGAGGAACTGCTGCTGGGGGCCCCTCTCAAGGTAGATCCACACAGAGTCCAACACCCACAGTCAGGCATCCTACCTCAGTCCTGCCATGTCGTGGGAGGTGTCTCGGACACCTCACTGGTATAGTAGCTTTTGTGGGTCTTCTGCCCCCTCTGGGTTACTTCACCCTGTGGACAAATGACTGTTGTCATGGTGACAGGTGGGGGCACAGACACTGCAGAACATAGGCACATGAGCCTGGCCTTGATTCCTGGGCCTGGTTCCAGGCACCTGCAGGGTTGATCAAACCCATTTCGTCTTTCCTTAAACCCAGGAACTCAAGCGTGGGAGCCGGACGGCACAGCAGGGCAGCAGTGGCCTAACATTTTGGAGCTGGTCCCTGGTCTCTCATTATTCTTGTCTCTTACCCCAGACTTGCTAATTGAAAGATTCACCAGGCTGGAAATGTTTTGTGATTAAAATTCTGGGTACATTACACATCACTGTCTGTGTGTGAAAAAAACAGCACTTCTCACTATTTCCTTTCACTAACCTGATGTTCGTTCTTGTGAGTGTTCTTACCTGAAGACTCTTGGAAGCACCTGCTCTGCCTGTTACAGACACTTAGCTCCTCTGCAACCATCTCACTGATTTTACATCAAACCTCAGGCACAGCACAGTGAGCTTCTGTGCAGATTGGGAGGGCTGTGGTTGAAGCCATCCTAGGCTTCTGGTTGACAAGATGGACTGGAGGTGTGGCTCAAGTGATAGAGCACCTACTTAATAAGTGTGAAGCCCTGAGTTCAAACCCCAGTCACACCAAAAGAGAAAAAAATTGTCAGCTGGACAGTGTTTGTTTGGGTCATCTTGTGATTGGCACCCATCGATTGTTCTTTCACTTGGTTGTTGATCTGCCTCACTTGGTCCTTTGTTCAGAGTAACTCTGAATCATGCCCTGGACATTTTAACCCTCCTGAGACTCTGGAAACCTTTAATCGATTGCTCCTGTCATCAGGCCATTGGTCTACTTCCATTCAGACCACAAGTCCTGTTGCTTTCTATAGTGGAGTTGCCAATGTTACCATTTTCAAAACCTCTGCTGTGTCGCTTCCCCCCCCCCCGGACCCCTCATGGATGACCTGGGCCCTGGGTAGTGTTTTGTACATAGTTCAGGTCTTGCAGGCTTTGCTGGACTTCTCAAGTGTTTTCTGCACATGAGTCAGGGGTGAATCCAGGGTGAGGCAAAGATGTGTAGGTCCCTGCTGAGAATTAGGGACCCCTTGTTCTAGCTCTGTCTTCTCTGGGACTTGCCCCATACTGTTCATCTTCCTGGAGCCCCTTTCCTGTTCTTCCTGTCAAAGCCGGGTTTCTCTGGCTCTCTGTGTGACTTGGGCCCACCTTCAGGATAAAGCAGCAGGAGAAAAGGAAGAAGAGTGAGCAGAGCTCCCCAGAGACTCTAGACCTTGGCCAGACAGGTGTTCCTTCAGATTTCTGCTGCAGCACCTGGCTACCCTGCAGCCAGCCTGAGGCAGGGCTAGGAGAGCAAAGATTCCCAGCTCCCGGTCCCAGAGGTTCTTTCCAGGTCCTCTGATAGGAATAGGGCATTTCTTACAGAGGTTTCTACCCCAGGCCTGCCCCAGGTCAGAGCAAGGACAGAAGCAGCCTGAAGACTGACTCTGGCTTAGGTTTGGCCCAGGTCTGTGCACCTGCTGCTTTCTGAGTCCCCCGGCTGTGGCCGTTGCCCTTGGTATGGTTTTTACAGTCTGCAGGCAGCTGACTATCTTAACCTTCACCATTTGGTGTTAAAACAGCAAACCTAAGGGAGTAAGAAAAATAAAGGAATCCACAGGTTTGGGCTTGCCTTTCAACCTCATCTCTCCTCAGATGCCAGGTCCTGGCTGTAGGGCCATGCAATGCCAGCAGGTGGCGTAGGACTTCTTTCTTTCGAAAGCTGACAGTGTGTGTGCTGGGAGAAGGTGACCGTCCCTCTCCCTCTGTATGTCTGTCCTTGGTACTTCAACGGCACAAAGCAACCGCTTTAGACAGAGCATGAAAACAGCTTTTCCCGGGCCAGTTCTCCCCTGGACACAACTAAGCCGTGCCTGTCCTATCAGGGAGCCAAAGCAGCATCTGATGGCCCCTGTTTTCTAATTAACAAAAATGTCCACTTCAGTGAGCAAAACTATGTAAAAACATGGGTGTCAGCTAGGCACAGTGGCTCACACCTGTGATCCTAGCTACTCAGGAGGTAGAGGTCAAGGAGGATCGAGGAACTTGAAAAAGTTCATGAGACCACATCTCAACTAATAAAAATCAGGGTGTGGTGTTGCGCTCCTGCCATCCCAGCTATGCAAGAAGTGTAAGTAGGATTGTGGTATAGATGGTCCTATTAAAAAATAGGTATAGATCCTATTAAAAAATAACCAAAGCAGAAAGGACTAGAGGTGTGGCTCAAGTGGTAGAGAGTCTGCCTAGCAAGCACAAGGCCCTGAGTTCAAACCCCAGTACTGTCGAAGGAGGATTAGGAAGAGGAGGAGAAAAAAGACAGAAAGCAGAATGGTGGGTGCCAGGGACCAGGAAGGGCGGGAGGGGAATTAGGGTAGGTGAGAGTCTTGGAGATGGATGGTGGTGATGGCCATATAGCACCTGGAAGTGCTCCATGCCACAGAGGTGTGATCTTTCAGGGGACTGAGGGCAAATCTCATGTCGTGTATGGCTGAGGGTGCCCTCATGAGCATGTGCAGGTCTGATCTACTCCCTCTAACTTGTCCCACAGGTGACCTATGGCTCCTTTGACTACACCTCACTGCTGTACCTCTCTGACTACCTGGAGGACTTTGGTGGAGGCCGTTTTGTGTTCATGGAGGAGGGAGCCAACAAGACAGTGGAGCCAAGAGCTGGTAGGATTAGCAGGCTGGCGGGTGGGTGGGTGAGGGCGAGAGACCCATGTCCCTCCACCAGCCCAGTGACCTCCATTTACACATGTGTGGACATACACGTGCATGTGTGCTGTGGGGTGGGGCCGGTTTTACTCAGAGCCATGCTTTGATTTGGAACACCGGCTGTGCCAGGCTTGGTTCTGAGTTTTCCCAGGTCACCTCCTGCTCGTGGCACCCAGGAGATCAGCTTCTGAGGCCCAGTTACTCTAGGTCTCTTCAATTAGCAGTGGAACCAGTTCTCGATGGCATCCTCTTGGTATACTGGGTCCCACCTGCCTCCATCCTGTGCTCCTGCTCTGTGCACGTCTCAAAGGGACTCACCAACTTAAGATTAGAGGATGCTGGCTGGCCGTGTGGTACAGTAGTTCACTGATGGGTATTAAACACCAGCCTGTGCTGGTGCTTTTCAAAGGTGCTTTTCATTTTCAGGTTCTGCAGGTGAACAAGAGGCAATAACCCTTGTCCCATGGGGCTTACACTTAGGTCAAGGAGACAGACAGGGTCTAGAAAAGGGGGCGTGTCATCCGTCAAGGGTGAAGAGATAAAGTGGGGTTCCAGAGCCAAGGCAGAGCTGGCATGGAGCTGTAATTCATGTTCTGTTCAGGAGGGTATCCTCTTGAGGACCTGCCTGCAGGGGGGCAGGAAGGTCTCATTGCCCTGGTGAGGAGGGGTTTTGGATGCATACACTTTTCCCATGGTTGGGGGTCAGCATCCAGGCTGAGAAATGAGCAGATCCCACCCTTCTTGTCCTGCTCTAGGGTCTCTCAGAGGGCTGGGGGTGCCTGTGTCTCCATTTGTTGCGGTAGGCATGTCTTAATCTCCTTGGCACTCTCCAGCATGTCTGCTGTGGGGCCCCTCGGTTATTTGTGTTTTGTGGCAGAGAATTGCAACTCCTGCTTCTCATTGTTGGTTCTGAGGGGACCTTTTCTGTCTCCCCACCCTCCCCATGTTTGTTGTCTCTTCCTGCTGTTGCCTGTCCCCCAGGGCATGGAACCTGGGCTGCCCTGGCCATAGCTCAGGGGCCTGTCAAGCCCATTCCCCACAGACCTACTACCTGTGGGCACTTCTGCCCATCACCCACAAGAGGCTCAGATGTGGACTATCTCTTGAACCCAGTGACCCTGGACTCCAGCCCTATGCTGGCCTCCACCTCCAGTTGTGGTTCTCAGGGACATTTAGCTGGACTCTGTCCTGGCCTCACCCTGTCTGTCTGTTATCAGTTTGGACAGACTTATGTTTCCTTACCCCAGACATCCAGTCACAGCACTTTTGTGGGAAGATTCAAAGCTCATACAGCACAAGGCAAATATTTCCTAAGGAGATCAAGGTTTTCTAGAAAACATATCTTGGTTTTAAACATTTTAAGCATGATATATATATATATATATATATATATATATTTTTTTTTTTGTATCATAATCTCTCAGATAATTAACTACATGTCTCACACATGCCTGTCTATATTACTATGTATGTCTGTGTAATTTTAAATGTGGTTTTGTATAGTACACATATACTCACACACGGGGTGCACTTAGGTGATAATTATATAGTTGCACTTTATGAAACTGTGAGTGTTCAGGAGCCCCTGGGAACACCTGGGGACTCACAGTGAGGACTCAGAACTCAACACACATGGCCAAAATGCATTTATAGTGAAAAACTATTAAAACATACCAGGCCAGAGGCCGAGGAGCATGGTCCCAGGCAGGCCAGGCAAGTTTCCTGCCACCCTGTCCCATTGAGCCAAACCTGCAGTCCTCACTTCCAGCAACGATGTGTGATGTACACATGGAGTACTGCCTACTGGGGTGCTCATCTGAGCCTTGGTGTTCAGGGTTTTTATTGGAGAGTGGTCGCCTGGGCGTGGCTGAGCACTGGCTCCACCCCCATGGCTGACCAGAGTCTCCTGACCTCTGAGATTGGGCTTATTCTGTGTTGGCTGGGGCCCTGCTGGTAAATCACACTATTGGCCTAAACCATACTGTGTATCCCAGGTCAGCAAAGACTCTGATGACTCAGAGGTCACCTCCCAGGTGGGCAAAGGGCCAGGTATTTCTTTGGAATGGGTGTGTGGTCAGTCAGCCCTTTCCTGATCAGTCTCTGTGCTGGGTCCCCAGGACATCTTTAAGGTCACCTCCTGTGGGTTCCAAGAGCTTTTTTTACTGGGCCAAGAGCCAGTGCAAGTCGGTGTCATCTGTCACTCAGGGGACTCTGATCGTAAGAGGGAGAGATGCAAGATTCTGGAACCAAGTCTGTCTTGTGTTTGACTCTTCAGTCCTGCTTTCAGGAAGTGGGAGATCATCTGCTAGTAGCTCCCTGGGGAGGGCAGGTGTCCAGCCAGCTGCTGTTGTGAGGGCCAGAGTAGCTGTGCTCACAGAATTGTGGGCTGCACCATTCCTGGGCATCAACACTGCCCTCGGTGGGTCCTTGTTGGTCTGTCTTCGTCTCTGCCCTGGGCTAACATCCTGGGAAGCGCCTCATGGTCCCAGTGACGAGGGTCCTGCCCTTCGGTGATTACAAGGCCTCTCTGGAGCATCTGTCATCATTTTAATGACATGGACTTCTGAGCTGTCAGTGTTAAATGGAATTTATTAAAAGTAAATGAAGCCTGCGCTGGCCCTGGTCCACCTAAGAGAATCACTCTGACGTTTGACGCAGAGAGTCGGGGAGCTAGGTCACAATGTGAACAGTTTCCATGGCTGCACGGTGAGCTGTGCTCTGCAACTCCAGAGGCCCTCCATAGATATGCCTGTCCCTCAGCCAGGGCTGGGTCTGTGCAACCTGAGCCGCCTGCCATCAGCTTGTTGTCCCTCAGCTGGGTGGTGCAGGAGAGGCTGCAGCCCTGGGGGTGCAATGAGGCATCCTAGACAACATAGAGAGGCTGGTGTTTGGCCCCGGGAGGGTGGTTCCCCACAAAGGAGGTGGTGCTGCTGCCACCTGCTCTGTGAATTGAGCTCGTGGCTGAGAGTGAGGTCAGATCTATCAGGTGAACGACTAGAAAGTTGTTTTGGCTGCAGTTTAGATACAGTTGGAATAAAATGTAGGTTTTCTGGTCTGAATCCCCACCTCTCCCTCCACCATTCCTCCTGGTCACCAATTCGCCATTTGTTTGGGAAGTCAGTGGCCTTACTCCTCCAGTACATGGTGGGACCATCTGGACTCACCCCTGACATGGTTCAAGAATCCAAAGCTCTGAATTTCCTGATGAGCGGTTCCATCTTGCCTGATCTCTGCTTCACGGTTCCTTTTCTTAAAAATTGTCTCAGTCTTTGGACGTAGTTTTCATTTCTCTTGGTTAAATCCTTCCCAGTGGAAGTGCTGGACCACACGGTAAGTGTTGCACGGAGTGACCACCCTGTTCCACACTGTTGCCCATACCGCTTCCTCCTTTAGCACTTGGTGGTATCCGTCTTTTAAGGTGTATCAGCTACCTCTTACCCTCAAACTCGGTGGCTTCATACCACCATTTTTTCCTCGAGGTTTTTAGGAGTTGTCTCACGGCCTGATTCAGCTGCTCCTCTGGTCGGGGCGTGGAGGGGTCAGCTGGGGTTGCTGACCCCTTGAGGCTGGGCTGGGAGGTTCTGCCCCCAGGCTCACTCCGAGGTGGTCAGCAGGAGGCAGCTCCTTGTGGGCTGTTTGCTGGAGCCTCCCTCAGTCCCTGGCCACACAGGCCTCTCCATAGGATGGTGAACCAGAAGGCAGCCACAGTCCTTTTGTTCCCTCACCTTGGAGGTGGCCTCTGTCACTCTGGCACGTTACTCCTGGGGAGGGAGTTGCTTGGCCAAGGCCAGATGAAGGGCAGGAGTAACAGGATCTCAGGGACATCTCAGAGGCTGCCGGCCTCAAGTGGACTTACAGTGGCGCCCGTGAGATTTACTTTGCATTTCCCTGATGACAAATGACACTGAACACACTTGTGCTTCTTGTCATTTGGGTACCTTCCTGTGAAGCATCTAGCCATGTCTTACCCCTTTTAACCCGGTGTTAGTCTTCTCACTGAGTGTGAGGATTCTTTATATATCCTGGATAAAACTTTTCCAAATGTCTCCCAGTATATGGCTGGCCTTTTCATTCTCTTAAGTCTGTCTTTCAAAGGGAAAAAAGCTTTAACTATCAGTAAAGTCCAACTTACTGACCACTGTCTTTTCCGGTTCATGTTTTTGGATAATGCTAAGAAATGTTTGCCCACCCTGAGGTCATAGGAATTTTCTTCCTACATTTATTTCTAGAGATCTTATGGTTTCAGCACCTACGTTATAACTCTGATACATTTTGGAATAGTACTGATGTGTGGTGTGAGGCAGGGGTAAATGTTTTCTGGATTTACAGACATTTAAGCATCACTGATTGAAGGCTGTCTTACCCATCAAGTCGCGCTTGAAGCCTTTGTCAAGAACCCATGCACCACATCCCCACGGGTCCCACAGGTCAGTGTGTCCTTCTTTGTGGACACCGTAGCCTCCCATTGCTGTGGTTTTATAAAAAGTCTTGAAAATAGACAGCAGTGTTAGGGTTTCTTCTTCCTTTTCAAAGTGGCTTTGGCTGCCAAAATTTTTTGGCTTCATTTGCATATGAATCTTAGTGGCAGTTTGTTAATTTCTTCAGAAAGCCTGCAGAAATTTTGATCTGGAGTTGTGCTGAGCCTACTGAGGAATGGAAAGCAGGACAGCAGCCCACTTCCTGCCTCACACCTCGCACGTCACAACAGAACTGTGCTCGTTGACCCCACTCTTGGGGTCGTGTTTTCACGCATCTTACTCTGCACATGTGGTGAGCAGCACCTTGTGCTGGTGTCATTTCCTTTAGATGTTTGTTTTGGAAGAACCACAAGGAGAATACATACAGTGTTCTGCATCTTCCCACTTACTTCCAGAGCCCTACTTCCCTTCCTCTGGATCAAGGTTTCCAGTTGGCATCCGTGGGTTTCCCTTCAGCCTGAAATGTTTGCCATAGTGCAGATTGGATGGCAGTGATTTTTCTGAATGTGTCCGTATGTCACCTGTTGGGTGTTTTGTTTGATTGTTTTTGTTTTTGTGGTGTTGGGGATTGAACCCAGGATTGGACCTTATGCATGCTAGGTAAGTGCTCTACCACTGAGCTACACCCTTGGCCTGCACTGTTCTGGCAGTAATAGGGTTTGAACTCATAGCCCTGTGATTGCTGGGCCGGCTCTCTACCATTTGAGCCACTCACCCAGCCCCTTTTGCTTTAGTTATTTTTTTTTAATAGTGTCTCATGTTTATGGTGGGAGTTAATGGGAAGTCTAGGCTGTGATTGTATTTATGCCCTGGTGTAGCTGGGGTAACCAGTGTGTACCACAACACCAGCTTTTACATTGGTTGAGATGGGGTCTTGCTAACTTTTTGCCCATGCTGGCCTCAAACCACAAGCCTTCCAATCTCCCCCTCTTGTGAAGCTGGGATCCCCTCTTGAGTAGCTGGGATTACAGATATGAGTCACTGGGCCCAGCTTTTTTTTTTTTCTTTTTTTGAGACAAGGTCTCAAAATCCAGGCTGACCTTAAACTCAAAATCTTCCTGTCTCAGACTCCCAAGTACTGGGATTACAGGTGTGTACCACTGGTCCCTGCACCATTCATCGTATTTTAAAAAGATATTTTCACTGGATTTAAAATTCTGTGTGACAGAAATTTTTTTTGTTCCAGTTTCCCCTGTTTTGGTGAGAAGCCTGCTGATCTTCATATTGCTGTTCTCCTGTGTGACATGTCTTTCCTTCTCCTGCTTTTAAACTACTGTCTTCTTTCATTTCATAAGTTCGACTTTGATGTGCTTTTAGTTGTGGATTTGTTTCTCTTTATCCTGCTTGGAGTTCCTTAGCTTTTCTAGTGTAAAAACTGGGATTTTTTTTGTCCTGTTGGGGAGTTTTAGTCCTACTTCTTTCAGCAGTCGTCCTGCCCTGTGTTCATCTCCTCCTCACTGAGATTCCAGCACATGAAAGAAGGATGGTTTCACGCCCTTCCCTCGCTCTGGAGCCTCCATCAACCTCATCATCCTCTTCCTCCCCCAGGTGTCTAGGGCTCAGTGGCTTGGATGGCAGCGGTGGCAGGTCGTTTGTAGCCTGAGGCACAAGACGTGTGCCATCCCCCATGCAGACAGTGAGAAGTGTGTCTGTCACAGTGGGGACAGAGGGGTAGATAGCACGAGGGGTGGAAGGTCCCGAATGCCTGGCTGCACCGTTGCGCCCTGCTGTGCAGAGGCCTGGCCTGCTAGTTCTGACATCTCAGGTTTGATTGAAATAGAAAGAAACCAAGGAGAAAATGTTTTTAAAAACCATAAGCTCAGAAAGTATTATGACTCCAGATCTCTCTGCCGTGTGTGAGTTCCTTCCAGGAATCCCTGGGCCCCGCCTGAGGTCTCCGGTGTGGTTTCTCGTTACTGTTTCTAGACAGTGCATCTCTTAGACCACCAACATGCACAGCATGCAGGGTAGACTCGCGGCACTTTTCAGAGTTAGGGTGAGTTGCAAAGACAAAAGGGAGAAATGCTGTTTTCCAGCAGTAGCCTTTGAAGGGAAATGGAATCGTCAGGGAGCGTTTGGAGCAGGGCTGTGGCGAGTGCAGTGCCTTTCGGATCCCAGTGTTCTTGACTTACGACTTCACTGGGTTGACAGGGGTATTTAGCAGTGAATGCTTGCCGTAAAAAAGTCTGGGCATGGCTAGTCAGATGTTCAGGCAAATAAACAGAATTCTCTTGGAACAAATGCTTGGAAGGACTCCTGACCCCCACCCCGGTGCCTGGGCCTCAGTGGCCTTGAGTGCTGCCGGGAGAGGCCTTTTCCAGCTCTGAGGGCCTCCCATCCTCACTTGCCCTTCTGTTGTTAGAACACTGTCATTGTCCCTGAGGTTGGCTTTTATTCTCAACACGTCAGATCTGGGGGGGGTCTCTGGGGTTCCCTGGGGATGGATGGCTTCTCATGCATTTATCCCAAGTCTGTGGCTTCTTCCTCTGCCCTCCCCCCAACAAAGGGCCCCTTTGGCTGGGAGGGGAGGGGATGCCTGTCCTTCCATCGGGGAAAGATGCTGCTATTAGGTCCTTACACTCTGGCTTCCCACGGCCGCAGTCCTTGGCTCATCTGAGTGGCTGCTGTGTTCTCTGAAAGCCCTGCTGGCCACACACGTGGCCTTGAGGTCACCTCTTTCTCCCTTCCTCCTCAGGTCGGGTCTCATTCTTCACCTCGGGCTCAGAGAACCTGCACCGGGTGGAGAAGGTGCGCTGGGGCACCCGCTACGCCATCACCATCGCCTTCACCTGCAACCCTGACCACGGCATTGAGGACCCGGCACTCACGTAGCCCCTCATGTGGGGAAGCAGCGCGCTCAGGGCAGCAGTCCCGGACAGTGCTTAGCACGTGCTCTGCCCCTGCCCTTGCAGCCGTCTCCCTGTCCAGAGTGCCTTACGAATTATCCCGAATTTTGATTTGCTGGTGTTTTAATCTTTTCATCTGTGAGTAAATGAAGAGAGGAGCAGCTTTTCCACCTCACACACACCATGTTTGCTCTGGCAGGAGAGGGGTCCCTGGACCAGGGGAGAAACACAGCCTGTGAACAGAGGTGGTCGCCTTGCTCTGGTCCGTGCTGAGGAACCACCTGGACCACTGAAACCTGGCCAGAGCACTGCAGACTTGATGGGGATGGAGAAAAGGTGGGGTCAGCAGCTTCTGCTAGGACACAGGACCTGGGATGGTGGCACTTTGGGGAAGGTCCCGGGGGGCACTGCCTCTGGGAGGCAGCTGTGATCCTTTCACCCTGAGAGCAGTTCTGCACATTCAAGGTGGAGATGAACCTTTCACATCCTCACTGGCTGAGTCTGTGCCTGAGAAACAGCCTGGGCACCACAGTCTTGCTGTCCTGGGCTCCACTTGCCACTACCAGGGTCCCCGACAGTCCATGTCTGAATGTGTCCCTGCCAAGGAGGGTCTCAGCATCCCTGTCCCCACCTCCTGTGGCCCCCGCCCAGTGAGGCACTGTCCATACAGCCCCTTCTCATCCTAGTGCTGTCACTGCCCTTTTTGTTTTGTTTTTGTTTTGGTCTAGTTTTTTTGGGAGGGACTGAGGTTTGAACTTGGCTTTGCACTTGCAAAGCGGTGCTCTACCACTTGAACCACACCTCCAGTCCATGTTGCTCTGGTTATTTTGGAGATGGGAGCTCCCAGACCTTTTGCCTGGGCTGGCCTTGAACTGTGATCCTCCTGATCAATAGCTAGGATTACAGGCGTGAGCCACTGCAACTGGTTTTCTTTGCCTTCCAAATTAGAGGGGCAGTCAAAGAAGCTGTGAATAGAAGGGCCATGTCGGGGAGCCCAAGGGGCACATCCATCAACCCAACCTCTGCCAGGTCAGGCCTAGTTCCACAGTTGCCTCAAGGCTACTAGTTTGGGTTTGGCACCTCTACAGGAGAAGGGCTGACCACCCTCTACGTACAGTCAGAGCCCCAGAAATGCTCCCAGGAACCAGAATGACCCACTACCTGGGAGGAATGGCCAGAACATCCTTTGCCCACCCGGCATGGCCACCTGAAGCAGTTGCCCTCAATGTTGGAAGGACCCACCACCCTCAGTCCTCCAACTCCCCCACACAACAAGTTCCCAGGGCCCGAGGTCAGTCACACTGTGGACATGGAGCTGCTCTATGGGCTAATAGAGAAAGAGGGATCATTCCTGGACCTCTAATGGACACAAGGCCAGCTGAGGTGCCAGGAGGTCTGGCAGTTAAGGACCCTAGGTCTGCATTGTGGTTGGTCACGCCTTCCTGTGCTGTGTGCCCGATGGCCCAGTGTGCTCCCAGTTCTCTGGTGTGGACAGGTGGCTAGGCCCTCTAAGCCAGGGCTGTGGGCTCTGGCGGGTGAGGAAGGAGCTCTGGGCCTCTGCTGTCCCCTCCTTGTCCTCCTGAGCAGAACACTGGGGAGAGGACCACATTTTTGCAGGAGGATGGTGGCAGTTCAGGGGAGGGCAAGGGCCAACCTCTGGCTGATGGGTGAGATGTCCTTGTGGGCTGCCATAGGGCAGGTAAATGGCTCCCGCATTCTCTGCACTTGGTCCTCGTATATCTTCTGCCCTTGACTTTCCAGTCAAATTTTGGGCAGGCACGCCAGGTCCTTTCAGTAGATGACGTGACAAGGCCGCCTTCCCCTCCTCCAGGGTCACAGCCTTGGTGTCCAGAGTAAGGCTGGCCCTGCTGCCCTGGATGTTGCTGTCTTCTTGCCTCATGGGGGGTGGGGGCTGGTCAGCTTTGTCCAGCTCAGTGGTGGCCCAAGTTGGCCAGGCATGATGGGGAGGGCCGGGGTTGGGCTGGCTAAAGCCTCGGGTTTCTGGAAGGGCCACTTGGCTAAGAGCATACTGGATTTCTTTCTCTTGGGTTGGGCATCAGCAACAGGCAGGAGCCTGGGGCAGAGGGAAGATGACCTAGTGGTTAAGGGAGGACCCTCCCGGGAGGGGAGCCTCAGCTAGGTGATATGGTTCCAGCCTGTTTCATACAAATCAAGTGGCTATTTGCCTGTCTTTGAACCTCAGAACTGGAGAGGATTAAGCTGCCCGTGTGAGTCACTTCTTACATCACTGAGGGTGTGCTTTTGATTCTGAAGCTGGTTTATTTAAAGGTTGCAAACACATCATATAGAATCTGGGACAAGCACTTGGAAAAGAATCACCAATGCGTATCTACAGTGTTGGTGTCTTCATCTGGGTCTCGCCTCCTTGCCTGGAGACAGAGCCCACCATGAGGCACCGAGGGACCATGGATGTGATGTGGGTCAGGTCCTGCTGGGCCTCAGGCAAGGTTGTTCCTACAGTCAGGATGCGTGCTTACTGTATGCTCTGAGGACTGGATTCTTCCCACACCTACAGTGGTCATAAGGACCAGGTTGGGGACCTTCTGCATGTCACCAAGACAGGGGCCAAGGATCTAAGACACCAGTAATGTGGGTCCTGCATTCTCAGATGCCTGCAAACCTCCAGGGCTTGGAAAGCTACAGAAAGCCTGCTGGCTCTGAGCAGCAAAGGCCTCAGAGGGTGACCTCACAAGCCCAGGTGTGGTCCAAGCACTAAGGAAGCCTGTGGCCATTCTGGTCTCCATCCCAGGCCTCTGTAGTGCTTCCTACACCCAGTCCTCACAGCAGAGTTCTGGGGAGGCCTGAACAGTGCCTCTTGCCCAGTCCTGTCCACGCAGCCTCTATGCAGCCTCCTTGCACAGCCTTTATTTATCCTCTGGGCAGCCTTTGTCCATCTCCCACCTAGCCTGTATTCAGCCTCCATCCAGCCTCTGTGCTCACTACGTGGGTGGTGAGGAAAAGGACAGGCCCAGTGTGGAGAGCCAGCATTTATCCCCTAAACCATGCGTTTCCTTTGCTGGACTGACACTTTCAAAAAACTCTGGAGAACATCAACAAAATTCAAAGCGGTGAGACAAATTAGAACCAGTGGATTAAGAGCAAGCAGAGGAGAGGGCTGGGCATACCCTGAGGCCCAAGGCTCCTGGATCAGTTGCATTCCAGCCTCATCTCCGTGGCTTCTCCCATGCACCTGCTGCTCATTGTAAAACTCAGGGCTTCTCCTGTTTCTCATTCTTGTGTTTCTGGGGAGAATGTGCAGGGCCCATTGCTGGCCCCACATTCCTTCCTGGGAAGGGACCTGGTGGCCCACTGCACCCAGCCCCCGTCCCTCCCCTGTTCTCTCCCCAGTGCCTCTGGAGGGAGCCCCTTTTCTGTGCCTCTCTTTCCTTCCTGTCCCTATCAGGAGGGGGCAGGTCCTGGCTGGCAGGGGGCAGAGCTGACACCAGCAGCTCCCTTGGAGGCCTCAGGCTCCCAGCAGCTCCTCTGTGCATGTTGCCTTAGTGCTGCCTCTGCCCTGTCTGCCAGCACACCAGGTCCCATTTCCACCTTCTTAACCCTTTTCGAGGCCTGGGAGATTAAGACAACTGGGGGATTCAAGGCCTCCACAGAGCAACCCCCCCACTGCAAAGGGTTGGGAGTTTGACCCTTTCCATCTCCTCCTCTGACCTTCCTGAGGGGGCTCAGGAAGGGCCGTGGGGGAAAGGAGGTGGATTTCTCAGGGTCTCCACACCCAGGTGGGCTCCTGGATCAAGGCTTCTCCCCTTTGGGCACATGGGTCTCAGCCTGTCCTTCCCAGGAACCCGCTCTGCCCCTGCCACAGTCCCCCTATTGGATTCCCCTTTGACCTGTGGGGGCCTTGAGGGGGCTGGAAGGGTGTGAGGGCTCAGAGCCACAGTAGTGAGGTGGGACAGCCCAGTGAGCCCTCCCCATCTCCACCTCTCTCAATGAGGCCAGTCTCAGGGTAGGCTGGGGCAACCTTGGGGAAATTTTGCAGGTGCATCCAATGATTTGCCCTCTCCCCACACCCCTTTTGGGCCCTTCCTGCCTCTTGGCCCCTGGGACCCCTCACAGAGACCTTCACACCCAGACTGTTCATGACCTGTGTCATCCAGGCCCCCAGGCTCGGTGGAATCTTGGCATGGGCACTGACTGCCAGCAAACAGGGTCACCACCCTGGGCATCCTCGGCACCTCTGGATTTCACACTGATACATAGTTCTGCAGTGAGACACAGGTTCTGGACTTTCAATCACACTGCAGGGTTTCAGGCCACAAAGGGCTCAGGGTAGCCCAAGTCAGCCAACCAGAGAGACTGCATTCTCAGCTCATAGCCACCTTGACTGACAGTATCCCGGCCTGACACCCTGCAAGGTGTTCTGGCACTTCAGCAGCATCTGCTCCCAGGACCCCCACCTGTAGGTTCTGGGGAGGCCCTTGGCTCCTTGTGCCCTGAGTTCCCTGGCTGACAGGGCTTACTAGAAAAGCTGGTCTAGTGGCAGGGTCAGCGGAGAAAGTCACTGTGGGACTCTGAAAGACGCAGCTGCCAGCCAAGTCTGTGTGGCCCAGGGGCACTATGAGCTAAGCAGAGGGGCCTGCCCAGGTGACCCCTGAACTGGCCGAGATCACAAGCTGTGCTGGCTGTGGAGGGAGGGCAGAGAGGGGTCTGGAGTGCTGGACAGAGTCCTCAGGCTCCTGACACCCAAGGCTGCCTGCCCACTCTTACTCACCACTCAGCCCTGCCCAGCCTGGGCGTCCACAGCTCCCGGAGTGTAGTGCTATCCAGCCTTGGCTCGCTGCCAACCTGTGCACCTATGCCTGGCAGGTTGGGGGATGGGGCTCTTCTGGGGCATGGGTCAGTCCCAGGGGAACTGGCTTCCTGGCCTCCAACATGGAGCCAGGCTCTCTCTGGGTTGGAAAAGGCTGGAGTCTGAAGCTGCCTGCTGTTGGCCACAGGCAGCCTGGCTTCCTGCTTGCACATCATCAGTCTGGAATTCAAATGGAAAAACCTGCGTGTGTCGAGGGAAGGTGCCCAGACAGCTTGGGACGAGCTCCTCAGTGCCTTCCCAGGGTATGAAGAGTCCAGGCTCCCTCCCCCCCAGGGGCTGGCCTCCCAGTGACCAGGCAGGACCTGTGTAGGACTGGGTGCAGGTTCTGGACAGGAAGAGGCCCGGTCTTTACAAACCAGCCACAGCTATCTGCTCCTGCTGTCCACCTAGGCCAGGGCCACTTCTCAGGCCACAAACGCTGTCACTGTCATCTCCACAGGTTCAGTGGTAACTCTTTAGGCTCCTTTTGATGGAGATGGTATCCACAAGCAGAGAGCTCCCTTGGCAGGTAAACAGTGGTGTCTACTTCCCAAAGAACTTTATCCCTGGCAAGACTAGGAACACAGTGAATCTTGAAATGTGTGTGCTTTTCCTCTGATGAATGACTTACGCCAGGCACAGTCAACCTGGGCAAGCACCTAGGGACTTTGAGATCATGTGTCCTTGCCCTGGCATGCTCCACACAGCTAGCTGGACAGTTCCTACCTTCCCTGCCACAGAGCCATGAAAACAGCCAGCCTGGGAGACGTGGCGTCCACCCCCACTAGCAGGAGCAAACCGAAGCCAAACCAGAGACGCCTGGGGACAGATGGACCTGCTGGCCAGGAATGCGAGGCCGCCTGGTAAACCCACCCACCAGACATCCACTCTCAAGCCCAGGGATAGTTCATTTGTTTGTTTGTTCACCCACTGGGCTCCAGGCCTCCATTGTCCTGTCT